ATAGTTTTCTACTTCTCCGTGTCAGCGCTCTATTTTGAGGTTATGTCACAAACATCTATTTGCATCAAATTGAGCTTGTTTTTGAGTTTTATCATGTTTTATCAGCCTGAAATTTTCTACAATTTAAAAGGAAAACATATCTTAACAATAGGAGAGCGCTGGCGCTGACACGGGACGAGTCTAATCTAGAAATTTTTGAAGGAGAGAAAAGAGTATGACAATCAAGGAGGCCATAAACGCGCCTTACAATTGTAGGGCGCCTTTATGGCATCCTTGATTGTCATAGTTTTCTACTTCTCCGTGTTAGCGCTCTATTTTGAGGTTATGTCACAAACATCTATTTGCATTAAATTGTGCTTGCTTTTGAGTTATATCATGTTTTATCAGCATTAAATTTCCTACAATTTAAAAAGAAAACATATCTTCACCACAGGAGAGCGCTGCGGGACAAGTGTAATCTAGAAATTTTTGCTATTGCTAAATATTATAATTATCTTCCTAATTATCTTAAATCATGCAATCCACATACATTTAAGAAACTAGTTTCGGATTACTTTATGAGCAATTGAATTATTACAACTTTAATTCAGGTGACCCTATGTGTGTTTTTTGGTTAGTGTTAGGTTAGGATATTTTTCTTACATGTATTCTACTACTGGCAAGGGTTGAATGGAAGAACACCTATAGGTGAACTCCCCCTTGAGGTTTTCTCAATACCATGATTTTGTTTCTCATGTGTGTGTGTGTAAAATGTACGTATATATATATATATATATATATATATATATATATATATATATATACGTGTATTATTATAACTATATTAATGAATCTATCCAGGAAGCTTATGTTTCTCTGAAAGTTCTATATGCTTATCGATATGTCCTCCCTGTTGAACTTGAAATACTGCTTTGTGAAATACTATTACTCAGCCATTTTAATTTTTGTAACAGCGTTTATGGGTTTTGTTTAGACAACAGTGGCATAGACAGAATTGAGCGTTTACAGAAGTCAAATCTACGATTTATTCACGGTCTACGTAAGTTTCAAAGAGTTTCACATAAGTTGCTTGATGCAAACTGGTTGAATATGCGATGTCGATATGAGTAGCTTGCATGTAATCTTTTTCGAAACATTTTATTTTTTAAGCAACCACCATATTTATCCAGACAGAATATCATTTCGGACCGATATTCATTACTTAAATTTGCTGTTTCGAGACTACTTATCACCTTCTCCTCATCAAACCTCTCGTTTTTGTAGATCTTTCTCATACAACATTTATCGGCTATATAGTCAAATTCCTAATGATTTATTTTTTCTTTCGGTGCTTTCTAAGGTAGATTTTCTTTTTACATAAAAGTGTAATAGCTGCAGGGCTGAACTTGTATCATTTGTAACATATTTCATATTTACGTATTTTACTGTTATTTTTACTTAAACTGTATGTTACGAACAAACATTATTTTTATTATTAATGAGCATCATTCATGATGTAAATACAGGGTTATCCAAATTAAGTGTCCACCATTAGTAACTTTGTTATTAGTGAAAATACAAAGTTGTTTGAATTAGCAAACTAGTAGCATTTTTAACGCTGGTAAAAATGAGAAATAAAAAAAAACAATTGAGAGTCGTTATTTTGATTTTTTTTTAGTAAAATAACATTTTTTTAAATGGAAACCCCTGTATATTATATTTTTTTCTGTTAAAGCATCAAATTTTAAACAAAAAAGTTCATAATGACTTTTCCGCTAAAGTCAAAAATAAAGTCAAAATAACGATAAATATTTTTAATTATTTGCAGTATTATAATATTAAGACGGCTATGAAAACAACATGGCGTTCGCGATTTGACAGCATTAAGATAAGCGACAAATTGTTAAACTGGACATACTCGCAACTAGAAGGCTTTGGAAAACAATGATAAAATCAAATAATGTCAAACATTAGTGTAAATACTTGTTTATAAGCTTTATTGTGTCATTAATTTAAAGAAAAATGTTCTCCCATGAAGAAAAGTGTGATATGTTAGAATGCTTTTTAGTGTGCAGAAAATCCTCCTACAGTGAATTATATCCCGCTCGCATTCAACCGTATGAACGATATTTTCTGAGACTTTATCGAAAATTTAGGGGCAACGAAAATGTTTTTGCTAAAACAAGGGCAAAAAAAGAATTCATAATAAGCGAGGCCACGGAAATTGCAGTTATTGGATATTTTGAAGCTTATCGTGAGAATTCAATAGCAGATATTCTCAAGGACTCTAATTTCAATTTTCAAAGGATTTTAAAAAAATACAAATTTATTCCGTATAAGTACCGACCAGTTCAAACGCTTTTGGCAGGGGATCCAGACTTGTTTTTTGCCATTGGTATCTTAGCTTCTGTCGCCAAAATGTAAATAACTTTCGTTACCTTTTATGGACAGATGAATCAAATTTTTCAAATTCTGGAATGTTTAATAGAAAAAACCACCATTATTGGTCAATAGAAAATCTTTTGTTAGTACATCCAAGAGGCCCACAGTTCCGTTTCAGTTTCAACGTTTGGTGCGGTATAATTGGTTCAAAAATTGTTGGCCCGTTCTTTTATGAGGGAACCCTAACTGGTGAAAGATATGTGGAATTTATGTCAGAAATTCTGACTAATTTCTTAGACGAATTGGATCTTATAAGTAGACATCATCTGCATTTTCAGCAAGATGGCGCACCTGCCCACAACTCCAGAGGTACTTATCATTTTCTAAGTACTACTTTTAATGATCAGTGGATAGGAACAAATGGCCCAATACAGTGGCCTCCCAGATCACCAGATCTAAACCCACTTGATTACTTCTTGTGGGGTTACTTAAAGAACCAAATTTACAAGCGAAGGTACGATAACCTTGACGCGTTAAAGACTGCAGTTAGGGAAAAGATAACCCAGATAGATGGTAGGACCATACTTAAGACAGTTCGAGCAGTTGAAAAACGTGCCCAAAAATGTATTGAAGAACAAGGTGGTGTTTTCGAGCATCTTCTTTAAAAAAAATTTTTATTGTATTTTGTAAGATTATAAGTTGATGTTAAAAATAAAGTTTGTCGATACAATTTAATTGTTTCAGATTGGAGGCCATAACTTCAACAATTTGTAACCTAGGAGAAAAGTTATTGTAAGCTTTTTTGTTTAAAATTTGATGCTTTAACAGAAAAAAATATAATATACAGGGGTTTCCATTTAAAAAAATGTTATTTTACTGAAAAAAATCAAAATAACGACTCTCAATTGTTTTTTTTTATTTCTCATTTTTACTAGCGTTAAAAATGCTACTAGTTTGCTAATTCAAACAACTTTGTATTTTCACTAATAACAAAGTTACTAATGGTGGACACTTAATTTGGATAACCCTGTATACTAAGTGACATATAAAGCCGAACACCCAGTTTAAATGGCTTTATTTTAATAAAATTTTGTATAAGTACTTAATGAAGCATAATAAGTAAATGATAAAAATTTCAAAATGATTGCACTGCTTTAAAGCCCTTTGACCTTTAATAATGTGTGGATGCACCCTGATGTGCTACGCATTCTCCAACGCGCCTAGGCATGCTTCTGATCAGGTGGTCAATGTCCTCCTGTGGTATCTCATTCCAGGCAACCACCAACTCCTCTCGAAGTGCTTCTAGAGTCTGAGGAGGACGTTGCAAATTGAGCAATCTCCTACCCATCATATCCCACACGTGCTCAATTGGGGATAAGTCGGGAGATCTTGGTGGCCATGGAAACAATGTCATTATGTTGAAAGAAGTCTATTGTGACTCTTGCAACATATGGTCGGGCATTATCTTGTTGGAAAGTTGGATCTGCCAGGGTGTCAAGATAGGGTAAAAGATGGGGTTCTAGAACTTCGTGGATATAACGCTGCGCGTTCATGTTACCTCTGATGAAGATTAAAGGTGACCTGGAACCATAAGCTATAGCACCCCAAACCATAACTCCAACAGTGTGATGAACATGTCTTTCAACAAAAAACTGTGGATTCCTCCTTTCACCACATCGCCTTCTAACCCTGGCACGACCATCGTGCATGTCTAAACAAAATCGAGACTCGTCACTAAAGACAATACTGTTCCATTTCTGATCCCAGAGTGACCGTTGTCTGCACCACTCAAGGCGATTATGTCCGTGTTCTCGAGTTCAAGGGAGGACCCAGTGTGGCCGGTATGAAAACAAGCCAAAACTTCTCATTCGTCGGTAAACACTTCGCATGCCAATAGGTCTTCCGTGTTCTGCAAACCATTCATTTGCAATGGACCTGGTAGTGGAGAAACGGTCGCTTAAGGCCAATAATCTTAGGCGGCGATCTTCACATTTGTTGTTCTACGGCGGCGTCCAGTGCCCCTTGCTCTTTGCGTACGGCCTTCTCGAAGCCATGCCTGACAACACCTCACCACAGTGTCTACACTTCTTTGCACTCTAACTGCAATTGCCCAAAAAGAAAGTCCAGCTTCCCAAAGTCCCACTATACGGCCCCTGTCAAACTCACTAAGTTGACGAAATCGTACAGGTCTCCGTACTCTAGGCATCGTAACCGATCGTAAAGGATGTCAAGAACCAAAATCCGCCAACGTTGATTCTTTACTGCGGCTGAAATATTCATTTTTAGAGCATTAGTGAATTAAAAAAAAAGCAGTATAAAAACCGGAATGTCCAACTGATAAGGCTGAAAATTTTTTCACTTGTTATTTACAGTAAGATAAATACATTCAGCAACTTTTATTAAAATAAAACTATTTAAACTGGGTGTTCGGATTTATATGTCACTTAGTATAATATCTACATTTTTCCATAAAACGTGTTTCTAACATGCCTGTATAACCACTAGTATGGCTACGTAGTTCATTTTCCCTTACCGTGGTCAGCTCAGACTGCTGAACAAATTCGCTAAAGCAGTGTATCTATAATTAAACATTTTTCATTGTCAGCTTAAGACATACAATTAACAGTTACTTTTTTCAGTTACCGCCACCTGTGGAGAAGAGATACGGAATAATATAACCTACTTTGTCAACCCACATTTTCCTGACCTGGATACAGGCGTGATATCCTGCCCCCTTACTGTTCATAAAATTGACGAAGAAATCGCTCAAATACGGTTAGAATTCATTCACTTCAGTTTGGTGAGTATTTCTGATAGTTACAAAAACATAGAGCAACAAATATCAACATCAACAACAACAAAGAACTAGAATCCCTTTTGACTATGCAAAACGGCATCAAGCGGTGAAATCAAGTGTGACACATTTGTATCATACCGACACAGGTCTTAAGTTTCACACTCTGTATTCATCAGATGCTGGTTTGTAGTTAAGAAGGTCTTAGCGCCGTTTCGTCAGTCGTTCCTACAATTGTAGGACGCTTTTACGGCCTCCGTGGGTCAGGCCAGTATCGTCCAAATCTGTCAAAGTGGTATGCGTCCATGACTTGCACTTTTTGCGTACTATGCTATTGCAAATAATCCTGGTGCCGTGTGCCCTGACGGTGCGCTGTAGGTAGTCCGTTTAATTGCTACTGATATATACAATGTGTGAGACTTAAGCCAAACTCAATATGATACAAATGTGTCTGTCTTCCTTGCCTCCGCCCTTGACGCCATTTCATATTGTCAATATTTGTCTAATCCGACCTTTGCAACAGGTGGCTTAACCTGTCGATAAATCAATGATCCCAGATATTCTTTATACCTTATGACAGCTCTAAGGCCAATTTTCTACAATTAACTCGCCTGTAGTCGCGCCGGGTCTGACTGACCCATATGCTTCTAAAACCTACCACTGCGTATATGTGACAACTCTGCCCGATGTCTCCTTCCCACTACCTTCCTATAGTGTGATGAAGATTATATATGTTGTTAGTGTCAGCGCAGCCGCAAAATTGAGTGTGTTGTTCCATGTTTCGGATTTCCTACTCGGCGCGAATGAATACAGATTTCTCTCAGTGTCAAGACTCTTATGGGGAGAAAATAGGATCTGAAAATCACAGCAATTAATTTGTCATTATTCATTCTGACATTGTTTCTTTATCGATCATTATCTTTGCGTTCAATGTTTTATTTCACTCTTTTCTTTTTTTGATTGCTTTTGGTTTGACATTTTGATGTAAATCTATTAAGAGATATCAATAAACGCATTTCATTTCGTCGATGGTCTATTCTTGAAAGTATGAGTTGACATATGTCAAACAAAATACTGGTTCATGCGTTATTCTAGGCAAACGACTTTTTTGTACCAAAGAAAACGGAAAGTTCGCCTGGGTCTGGTAGACCCAGCGCGACCAACAGAGTATAAAACCATGGCGCGACTACAGGCGGGTTAAGCAGTGGTATTTTTTAGAAAAATTTCTCTTTAATGACACTTATTTATATAAATTTCATGTAATTAATTGGATTTGGGGTATAAAGGAATAAATACAGTTTCCTGTTACAAAGTTGCGGACATTTCGTAAAAATATATTTCCTTCTGCAAGGCTCTACTAAAAAATTGGAAGATCAACTTTACAGACACTGATCAACAATTTAAATAATAAGATCGATGAGAGATACTTATTTCAGCTACGACATTATATATTATATTGAACTAAACAGAGGCAACATGATTCATAATTTAGGTATATATTCTAAACGAATGGAATTTATTTCCGTGTTTCATTATCTGAAAAAAAGAAATTTTAGTTAGAAACTGTGGTGGTGAAACAATGCTCCAACGTTATTCACGTCTTAGAATATTATCAAAGATTATTACAAGACTACTACATGGAAGGTATTTCAAAATAGTAAAAATCTGGGCTATTTTTTGCTATATTTGATGTTTTGCCTTTTTGTTGATGATAAATATACTAAGTGACATATAGATCCGAACACCCAGTTTAAATGGTTTTATTTTAATAAATGTTGGTGAATGTATTTATCTTACTGTAAGTAACAAGTGAAAAAATTTTCAGCCTTATCAGTCGGACATTCCGGTTTTTATACTGCTTTTTTTTTAATTCACTAACGCTCTAAAAATGAATATTTCAGCCGCAGTAAAGAATCAACGTTGGCGGATTTTGGTTCTTGACATCCTTTACGATCGGTTACGATGCCTAGAGTACGGAGACCTGTGCGATTTCGTCAACTTAGTGAGTTTGATAGGGGCCGTATAGTGGGACTTCGGGAAGCTGGACTTTCTTTTCGTACGCAAAGAGCAAGGGGCACTGGACGCCGCCGTAGAACAACAGACCGTGAAGATCGCCGGCTAAGATTATTGGCCTTAAAGGACCGTTTCTCCACTACCAGGTCCATTGCAAATGAATGGTTGGCAGAACACGGAAGACCTATTGGCATGCAAAGTGTTTACCGACGAATGAGAAGTTTTGGCTTGTTTTCATACCGGCCACACTGGGTCCTCCCTTTAACTCGAGAACACCGACGTAATCGCCTTGAGTGGTGCAGACAACGGTCACTCTGGGATCAGGAAAGGAACAGTATTGTCTTTAGTGACGAGTCTCGATTTTGTTTAGGCATGCACGATGGTCGTGCCAGGGTTAGAAGGCAACGTGGTGAAAGGAGGAATCCACAGTTTTTTGTTGAAAGACATGTTCATCACACTGTTGGAGTTATGGTTTGGGGTACTATAGCTTATGGTTCCAGATCACCTTTAATTTTCATCAGAGGTAACATGAACGCGCAGCGTTATATCCACGAAGCTCTAGAATCCCATCTTTTACCCTATCTTGACACCCTGGCAGATCCAACTTTCCAACAAGATAATGCCCGGCCACATGTTGCAAGAGTCACAATAAACTTCTTTCAACATAATGATGTCACATTGTTACCATGGCCACCAAGATCTCCCGACTTATTCCCAATTGAGCACGTGTGGGATATGATGGGTAGTAGATTGCTCAATTTGCAACGTCCTCCTCAGACTCTAGAAGCACTTCGAGAGGAGTTGGTGGTTGCCTGGAATGAGGTACCACAGGAGGACATTGACCACTTGATCAGAAGCATGCCTAGGCGCGTTGGACATCAGGGTGCATCCACACATTATTAAAGGTCAAAGGGCTTTAAAGCCGTGCAATCATTTTGAAATTTTTATCATTTACTTATTATGCTTCATTAAGTACATATACAAAATTTTATTAAAATAAAACCATTTAAACTGGGTGTTCGGATTTATATGTCACTTAGTATATTATGTGGTGGTTGTTACTTCTTTTCATAAAATTAATGATCTTATAGTACTTAATATTTAAATCTGCTATGTCTGTTCTTCTATCAACTGCATTCTTGTGCTTTTTCATGTCCTGAAAAAATTATGTTTGGAGCAACGTTGCTGGATCTGCTAATTAAATTTTCTAGTAATAATTAATTGAATCGGTCGATCTTTTTGACCCTTGTTAATGAGAATCATAATGACATTTGAAAATAATCGCTCTGTTATATACTTGATGACAAAGAAAATAGAATGCCCAGAAAAAATTTATTATTATTAGTTTGTATTTTATATAGAGTTACATATAGGCAAGAGAAAGTTGTGAAAAAATTTTCGTTATTGTGATAGGTCACCCATATGCGTTCACATTCATCCAGTCGTCTGTGTATGCTTTTGAGTAGATGATCTATGTCTACTTGAGGTATCTCATCTTGAGCTAGCTAATACTTGAAGAGCTGCTAGAGTTTATAGGGGATGGGGTGAAGACGAGCACTCTTTCTCCCATCGTATCATATCCATATTCAACAGGCGAAATGACTGAAGATCTAGGATACCAATGAAGGAAACCGTCTGAAACGTTACTGATATTCTTTGCTTTAGCTCTAGCAATATGGGGATGGGCATTCTAACGTATGTCCTGAAAGTTTTGGCACAAAATATTTAACGGTTTTTTTTAATGAAGGAATTTATTTAAATACTAGTTATCATAAATTACAACTCAATACTTGACTAGCCGCAACTTTCTTCGAAAGTTAGACAGTAAAGCCCGAAAATCCTCTTTCGGGCGACGATTGGAGGATCATCGTTTTTGGGAACAAAAGGTATGTTGAGTTGTCGAAGTCAGTTTTGGGTGACTCTTGAGTAGAGGCATGATGCTAGGTCTAGCCAAACCATGATATGGTCATTAGCATGATCTTCGCAAACTAAAGCAACGAGGAGAGGCAGTTATCAATGTAGCTCTGACTATTCAAAGCTTCACCTCTCACTCTTCCCGCAAAAGGTTGGGATACACCCTTGTTAGAAATTACACACCAGATAATGATTTATCTGCAAATTTTGCTTCGTGTTTGTACCTAACATTGTCAGGGCAGTCCTCTACGTTGACCATATACAATCCGTCGTTTCCATCCATTTCATAACTACTCAAAGTGAAATACTTTCCGTCATCTAAAATAATGATTTTCCATTGGCAAAGTGTGCCCGCATCAGTTGACGACTGCATCTTGGCTTACGAAGGCGCTTGAGAATATTTGGGGGTACTTAACTCTCTTGCGACATGTGAGACCATTTCACCTCAATTCGAACGATATCGTACCCTTAGAAGACCTGCATTGACGAGCCAGTCTCCTTTTTGACATTTCAGTCTGATTTTTTGCTCTTCTCATCAATCTCTCTGACCTCTAGACCTACAGACCTTTATCCCATTGAACATGTGTGAGATATGATGAGAGCAAAAGAGCTCTTTACAGCATCCTCCGCAAATGCTATAGTAGCTCTTGGGAACCAAGTGCAGCTAGCTCGAGATGAGGTACCTCGAAAAGGCATTAAGTACTTACTGAGAAACATGCCCCGATGACTAGACGAATATATGCGGTATCGATATAGAGGTAGCACAAAACATTATTAGGATAATCCGTCGATAGAGAAAATATGTTCACTTCAAAGTTTAATCACTTCCTCTTACTTATGTTTAACCTCATTAAAATCATGTTGTTCTATATTTTTTGTCACTAAGTATAATTTATCTTATAAGTTTTTTTAATAATATGACATGGACACCAGTTTTCACGAATTCGCATACATGTGTACAGTATAAAAATAGATCTTACAACAAAGTCGGCTACCACACGCGGTGTGGAAGGAATAGTGGGTATCGCTATCAGAAAATAAAGGATAGACATAATTGGAAGAATATATTACCATTTCTTCGAATGAAAGGCTTTAGAAGTCAGTTTTGAGAATTTGCAAATCTCATCATCTAGGGAATCTTTACTCAGAATCTTGAAATCCCTATTTTTGTCTATCTTTGAACTTTTCCAGCCTGGGTGGTGGGTAGCCCAGCTGTTTGCCATTACCTTGCTGAACTAGTATGACGGAAAGTCCGACAGGTCTAGGGGAGACCGGGGCTAGTTGTCACAATTTTCAGTAATTCTTTTTTTTATTATTAACTAATATGGTTTATTCTTTGGGAACACTATGTAAAATCGATAAGGCTGTAAAATAATTCACAATATTAAATTAAAATGTTTCAAAATACAGAAACAAATGTGACAACTTGCCACTTGCTGGGGCTGGATGTCACATTGCTTGGGGTTGTTGTCACGTGTATTTTAGATCATCAATAAAGTATGATACCATACTTTTAAACATATGTATTATTACAAAAAATGCTTATTAAACACCAAATCTTTATGAGAAAAAAGTAGAAGGTTTGTCATTACAATTAGATAATCTTTCGCAAATGAATAATTTTCTCTCTTTGCTTTACGATATGAATAATATTGGAGACCGGAGCTGGTTGTCACATGGGTTGGTTGTCACAATTGTTAAATCTCAGGAGCTCCGCACGATGTAGTTGCCTGGCGCACTACACATCGTTTCTGCGTCCGCGCAGAACACTTGTATTCAGTACGAAAGTTGTCGTTGCTAGGTTAAGGTCGCACACACAAAAATAAACAAATCGCCTAACCTGAGTAATTTTTTCATTTGCCAAATAATTTGTGTTTTCAAGACTACATTTGATAATAAAAAGAACTGTTGAATTTATTTTCCTCTTCAATAATCCGAATACGACTTAGTAAGTATTGACTTTGAATTTGTTAATTTAGTGACGCTATCTAACCTTAAAAATTAATTATTTAGTGGGGCAGGTTGTCTCAAATTAGCGACGGCATCTTGTCACATGGGACAACCAGCCCCCGCACTAGGCGATTAGCTTTGCACATCATTCTCCGTAGGTATATGTATATAATGTATTTTTTAAATATTTTCAGGTTAGATAAGCATGGTTCGAAAGAATTCAGTTAGGTATCTGTCGATACTGGAACCTTAATAAACCCTATATACATTTTGTAATTGAAACTTGTAAGGAAATCTGGAAGCAATTTATCTATACAACAACATTCGAAGCTCTGAATCAAGAACTTGTTGAAGTATTCCAAACTCACAGAGCAGTGGAAGTTTTGTTCAAGAATTATTTCCTTTTTGTAGTGTTTGCAAACTTAGTCAACTCTTTTCTATAATTTTTTGTTGCAGATGCATTTTAAGAGCACGTAAATTCATTAGAATTTCTTTTCTCAACAGGGTCAACCAAATAGAAAAACTGGTGAATGTCAAGAGGACATATTTCTGATGAAAGCCGAGAATGCCTCAACTTTGAAAATATGCGGATACAACAGCGGGCAACACGGTAATATTATAATGTTTCATTAGTATATAATGAGGCCGTCGGAGGAATGAAATATGAGTTAATTTTGAGGGTAAACCTAAAATTACGAGTTCATGTTGTAAAAAAAAACGCAAATATGACGCGGACGTTATATTATCATTTATTTGTGGTTTCAAGTTTTTGAGCCTTTTAAATAATTTCATTCCTCATATATCTTCGTACTAGAGATCAAATGTTATGGACATATTTATGACTCTTCGTGAAAACTCATCTTGCTTAATAGAAAATTAGGTAATGGCTTTGAAAGCTTTTTGAAACTAACTATATATTTCTACCAACTTGCTCGCACATTGGAGGTATGCAATTGAGACATACTCGTAAGTTACATATTAATTTTTTTTATATATTCCACACCAGAAAGAATGTATGACAAAAACTGAAGAAGTTGTGAAACACACACACATATATTCATTTTTTTAAAAAGGAATTACGAATCATAGTTATCCGACATAAATGTATCTATGTTAATTTGGAAAAGTATCAGCACCACTATTTGTTATAAATCACGTGGTTGATTTTCTCATGAGATTATAAAATATGTAAACTATTTATTGTAACATTTGAAACTTATCCTGTAGTTGCCAGGCTGATAAATCTCAATATCTTGCCGCCAAATGAAACCACGGATGTTCGATTGAAAGTTCACTAGCTTTTCGGTCACATCGGTGGCTCTTTGTCAAGGCACATCAAAAATTGCAATGGCAGTAAACCTATGACAGATGATAGTTCTCTTGCATTTGCCCCTACAGGAAAACAGGATTTCAGCTTTCCCCTTGAGTTTATTTTTCGTTTTTCGACTGAACTAGTGTGCGTTGGTGTAACATTTGAAACTTATTATGTGGCTTTCATACGTTTTCTAGACATGCAGCAAAATAGGAGTTATAGTAGTATAGCCCAATTGTTACTAGAATGTTTAATAATTCGGTGTTATGAACATACACTGTTTTATTTATTCACAGTATACTACGATGTGGAGAACGTTGATGAACCGATCAGAATCTCGATGAATTTAAGCAAAAAAGCGGTGAGTCGACTGTGGGAAATCAAAATAGTCCAGGTGCCATTTTCACAAAGAGCTCCTGTCGGATGTTTGCAGTATTACCAGGGTAAGTACTGGGACCAAGCCTCACTGTTTGTCGACAGTGTAGGAACCAGAAACCTATGAAAAGATGCATTACTGGTCAAAAAACGTTCTTATGATAGGACTTCTTAAGCGGATACAACAATTTTTCAGTTAGCTCATGTACCATCTGAATTTTGTATGGGTGATACTTACTCTTTTTCAAAAGTCTCCATGCAGTAGTAGGACAAACCTCACATACATTCGCGATGGAGGAAGTAGACTGTTGGGGATTTACTATAATCTCACCAATTATTTGAACTTACTTTTCTTCCGGGATGGTCGGATGACTCTGGGGCTTTTGTTGTTTACACTACCCCAGTAGCTGCAAATTTAGATACAAGTTCGCTTAAATATTTTGTACAGATAGGACGATTCGGGAAACGATCATTAAAAATCGAGAATTGACCATTTTAAAATAGTTGAAATAGTATCTAGCACTAAAACCGAAAACTAAATAAGAATATTTTAACCGTACAATGATGTTTGTTTTCGTAGTGATATTCTTGTCACTGTCAACAAAAAGTAACAAAACAAGTTTTTATCGCTGTTGCTGTGGATACGGCAGGAAATTTCAATTATTCGTAGAGATATGCATGTTAGTGGGCTTGTGTTTAGATGATTATTAAATGTACCACTATTTTATAGTAGGTAGAGGTATTGACTTTATATTCTAAGGTTGTAAAGTACTCGTCAGGAGCTTTAAAATGCCACAAGACCCCCGTTTTCATATATTTCTCCCAAGATGGCCCCCAGCCGCCATCTCCACATTTTCATCTGTCAATTTTACTTTAAAATATGGTATCCACGCATCAATTTCATTACCTCAAGTTTTAATTATAATAATTAATTTTTGAATTGATCCGTTCAAAAAATCAAAGGGGAGGGGGACATTAAAGAAAAGCACTGTATATGCATCTAGGGCGTTAAGTGGATAGCTTGAGATTAGAGCCCTAAGTGATTGAGGGTAGGTGGACAAATATGAAAGTAACTTTGACATCAAGATTATCAATTTTCGTGGATGAGCCGGAAAACATATAGCATTGACAATGCACATTCATCAAAATTACAAAATATCTACTCTTGATGTCGAAGGTCTTTCATATTTGTCTCAACCCTCAATTCCCACCTCAGCTTCATTTCAGTGAGGAAAAATACATGGAAAAATATAGTGAGACCCAAAACACACACCACTTTTGTATTTTTGTGGAGCTGTATTATAAGTAATATTCAAAAACGGAAAAATAGGTCGCATGTCCCTTTCATCAACTGCTTGTTTGGGGCAGTATTCTAAATCCTTTCCATTTGATTACTTCGTGGTGTGTATAGAGATGTCTAAAAAGCAATGTTATCAATGTTTTGTCAAAAAACGCATTTTTGTGTTCAGTTCTTTTTTTCAGCTCTGAAATTATATATCATAATTCCACATTTAAAGTAGAATAGAATCTTTGATTTTTTTGAAACCTCATTTTGCAGCAAATTGGGTTTTCAAGAAAGGCAAAGGTTCTTTGAAGAGCAAAAGTAATAAGGAAGAAGTAATCACCGGCTCCATTCTTCCATTAAAGTGGAATGTTCACCTTAAATTTTAGAGCTGTTTCGATTGAAAGAAATGCACAAAATGTATTTTTTGTCAACAAAAAGCTTGATATTATAGTTTTTCCTTCATCTCTATACACACCATGGAACAATTACTAAGAATACTTCTAAGGATAGGCTGTAGAAAAAAGGAATCTGCGACTTTAATAGCAGTGGCATTTCTGTGCCCAACAAGCTAAAGAAGGTCCATACAAATGTGCACGTACATTATTTACGTTTGTAGGATTTTTTCATTATCATTATTTACTTAATAATGAAGATTTCTCGGATAGGCAGTGAAAAAAATATCAACTATACACTACATGCAACAGACACGTTTTGTATGACGCCAATATACAGAGTATCCACCGTTCGAAGACACAGTATTGTTTCTAAGCAAAAACGTTTCAAAAAACTATTTATGAGCTATTATACGAGGTTTGTTAAAAAAGTATCGCAAATTTTAAATTTTCGCGGGCTACGTAGGTTCGATTTTTGATCTTTTTATGGCGCTATGTTCGTACTCATGACCCTCACTAATGTTGACAATATCGGCCATTTTGAATGTTCAGTCAGTTTTTGACAGCTATTGTGCGTGGACGTGTTTTAGCTTGTCTCCGATTTTTGCCTATTCCAAAAAATGGATCAAATGATTTGTATTAAATTTTGTGTAAAAAACAACTTGAAGTGCGCGGACATTTTCCAAATGTTGAAGGTTGCATACGGAGAAGCTACTTTAGACAAAAGCAACGTTTATCGGTGGTACAAAATGTTCTCAGAGGGCCGAGAAGATGAGAGCAACGAATAGCGTTCCAGACGCTCGTTAACAACAGACGAAAACATTGATGAGTTCTGGCTGCAGGGTACAATGGTCAATAAGGAATGTTACCTTCAAGTAATGTGCAATTTGCGAGGAGCAATCCGCCAGAAACGCCCGGATTTTTGAAAGAATAAAAATTGGCTTTTGCGCCATGATAACGCCCCTGCTCATGCATCGTTACTTGTGCGCGAATTTTTGGCCAAAGCAACACTCCAGTAATGCCACACCCACTGTATTCCCCAGACTTGGCCCCCTATGACTTTTTCTTGTTCCCGAAACCGAAGAGGCCCATGAAAGGGTGACGCTACGTCACGATTGAGGAGCTAAAGACGGCGTCGAAGAACGAGCTGAACAAGATCACAAAAAATGATTTTTCAAAATGCTTCGAGGATTGGAAAATACGTTATCACAAATGAATAATGTCTGATGGAGATTACTTTGAAGGGGACAAAATAGATATTCATGAATAAATAAATAATTCTTGAAAAAACATGAAATTCGCGATACTTTTTGAACAAACCTCGTATATATGGTATCTGAGGACATTTCTAAAATATTGATAACTATACAGGGAGTCCCTAATTCGACTCACATTAAAGTTGAGTTTTTTACACATTTCGATAGGTCCTTTTAGAAGAAGAACGTTGATATAACATACTTATGGGTTTTGATTATACGTCATTGAGCTAGTGTATTTTATATAAGAAAACACCAAATTTTGGCAGCCTACATATATGTATGTATGTGCTATCTTGACAGGTGGAGTAGTAACTTTTATGTAACATTTTTTTATGCCCAATTTTTAACTAATTTTTCCATTTCTTCAGTTTCTGAATGTTCGTTACAGGATGATGATCAAAAACGCAAAACGAGTTTTTCCTCAAAATAATTGAAAAGAGCACCTGTGTATATTCAGAGAAGCTGGCAAACTTAGACACAATCTCACAAAAAAATGGTTCAATAATGATGCCTGAGTCAAGCTCCCTAAGAGTTTAAGGTTCAAAGTATCTGGTTGCTATTCAATATAAGAATTTTAGGATATCATTGTTACGCGATTTAATAAAGACTAGAACTGAAAACCTGGTCATACAAGACCCCTTGAATTGTACATCAGGAAAAAACTTGCAAAAAGTGGAATTCAAAAATGATGACATATGCCGAACAATTTTTTTGAGAAACAGCATAATTTGCGTTTTTGACCCCATGTATTGATCATTCGAATAAAATACTTTGGAAATGATATAATAAAAATAATTTGACACAAAATTCACTCTACTCTTTCTGTCAAGACAGCAGATATGCTGGCTGTGAAGCTTTGTTTGTTTTGTTTAAATAAAATACCCAATAGCTCAACAATTAACAATCAAAACTCTTAAAAATGTTATATCAATATTTTTCTTTTATACGGGCTTATCCGTATGTGTAATGAAACGTAAGGATTTCCATTTAAAAACTCAACTTCGGTTGAAATTGAGACATCATGTATAATTGTAAATATTTTGTAAACGTGTCTCTACATTCCATATATAATAATCTATGACTAATTTCCCTTGAAATGTTAGGAGAGATACAAAACACTTTAAAATATGCACAAAGGTCATATAAACATGTGTCCGGAAATTCTCACTTTCCTTGATACCGTGTTGTTTTTTAATGGGGATAAGCAGGTTGATGTAATATTTGATTAAATAATTTTATTTTATGAACGAAAAACTCCAAGGGGCACTATTTAAGTATAACCAATCTGGCTCTCCAAGACACTGATACAATTTATTTTCCAAAACCAATAGCATACAGCTTGTTGGCTAAGCATAGAATTTTGCCGGCAACAGTGCCACTGATACAAGTGCTTTGGAAAATAATTTTGCCCATGTTAATGCAATGATTAATACTGCATGTGGGTATATCAATATCTCTCCCAATATCCGAATGAAGGCGAACTACCAAAAACAGACAAATTTATGGAAATATGGAAACAAGTGTTTCTGGACCTATGTTGTGTTCTTATATTTTAACTTGCTGCTCTTCAATTGTCCTGACAAAATTCTGGTTACACCCAAAGATCTAAAAACTATGGAAAGTTGTTTTTCGCTTTTACCACGATTTTAAAAAATTTCAGTATTGCCACAGGCAATTTTTATGCACAAACGAATAGAAATATTGCATTTTAACTTTTTCCCATTGTTTCTATGATCTATCCAAATACAAAAATAGCGCTTCGAGTATAGAGCAGGCACCTCATATTTTTGATATAATTGATTTTCCGCATTCTAGGAAAAACAGGTGTCATCCAAACAATGAACTTCGCTGACAATGGGCGACATCTGACCAATCAGGACTACGAAGTATGCATACGCCAGGAAGATGGAGTATGCAACATCGTCTACGAGCCCTGCCATGAAAATGCGTTCCGCATTAGCCCAAACAACGGAGTGGACCATTCCACAGATGGAGATATTGGATCCGGGTTTGGAAGCATATCAGAAGGAAGAGAGATGGAAACGTGTGACGACAAGATCACGCTACCATGTGATTCCGATGACTTAATCATGGTAAGAAATGTACAACTGAAGAACTAAGAATTTATCGCCTCGAAAAGGTTCAAAAGTATTGATTTTTTTTTTTGATTTTAGAAGTGCTCCGCAGTCATTTTTCGTTTAACCCTAGAACCGCACGCTGGGGCACCAATGAAGAAATAACTAAATCGTTCGTTACTTATTTGCTAAAATTATTTATTTATAAGTTCCTAAACAATAAGCCTTATTAGTTGTCAAAGTGACTGAACTTGAAATTAAAAAATCTATGTACGTTGATTTTTATCAAAAGTGCAAATGACAGCTGTACCGGATGGCACTGTTAATTTTAACGGGTACGGTTCTGGAATGTACGCGGTAGGAAATGAACGAAATTAGTGTATGGTATAATGGTTAACTCAAGTCACTTTATCGGATAACACTGTCACTCGTGAGGAAGATTTAACTTAGAAACGACACCACCGCACTATTCCATTGTTTCTATTCAACAAACAATTCAAATTCTGATTCAATGGAAGTTTTGTAATCGTTAAAAATCAGGATATGCTGGGCACTCAGTAAAAATTTTAGTGGGCTCAAAAACGTTGCTACCAGACATCTCTCAGACGTCACTTCTAAGTGATGATTTTCAGAATGTTCAGGAACCTATAATATTCAAAATTTGGAAATGATATACATAAATATATAGTCAAACACCTTAAGCTACTAAAAAACAATTAAGTGTCAAATATTATTATGGATTGCCAAAAACACAAAAGCAAAATCACATGAGATCCTAAAAATAAGTTAAATTCAATATCCAACATCGGAATTATCAGAATACAAACCAGAGTCGTAGTTATTGTGCTCAACAACGGCAGGTTCAATAATATTTAATATGTGAACATCCAGCAGCACATTAATGTTTTACCCTGAATGCGTGTTGTTTGTCAGGCCTCGCTGGATACGTTGTTCATTGGATTTTCTAACAACATCTTGACGCGCACTAACCCGATTTTTTTTATTTTTTCTTGTTGTTTCGGTTTCAACTTGTGCCCATCAGATTCAATTCGCAATCGTAAGATGATAAAGTGTATGTTGACGAGTCATTTCACCTATAGCGTACAATACTGCAGTCGACTTATTTTTCCTTGTAATATTAATGAGTTTAGGTCTAAGGGTGCAAGCTCCAACCAAGAGTATTCAAAACTTAATTAGTATGTTGCTGAAAATATATGAAATTGGTTACTTTAGTTGTTTCATATACGAATTTAGTAGAACAATGTGAAAATCGTATTCCATCATTTACTTAGAGAACCCATGAATTCGCTAATTTTACATATTTTCAGCAACATGTTAATTTAATGTAACATCTGAAACTTACCCTGTGGTTTACATGTCGATAATCCTCATGCTTGTCTGGTCAATAAAACTACATACATATATTGACAGAATCTTCTTTACTGTAAACGTTTCAATCACAAAGATTCTTCAGTACAAAGACAATATATTTGATTTATAATGATAATAATCCGGCTTTATTTATACAATGGATAAAAAGACAAAGTGTCGCTCAAAAAAGCGTTTTTCAACTTAACCCAACAAATATTTAAGATAATATGTTGCCGAAGTGGCCGTTCGGGTTTTTAAAAATGTTTATTATTACTTTACAAGACTGACTGCAATATAACTTGAAATATTATACAATGGATAAAATGTACATTACGACGGACAAACGAGGAATCTGCGGAAAGCATGAAGAACCTCTATTTATCATCTCCGGCTTGGATGCTTTCTTCAGCATTTTCTTCTTCCACGTGCATCCTTTTCTGCATCATAACTCCTCTCCACCTAGTCTGAAAACTGAATAGGAACGTTTTCTGTTTTCAGGAGGTTTTCTTCTTTTTGCATCTTTCTTGGGCCTCTCTTCACTGGATTCGGGTTGTTCAGTTTCGTAACTTTCGTCGTTTTGAGTGTCATCTATTTGATATAGTTGAAGACGTTCGTGTTTCTGGGTGGGCCGAAAACTTCTCGATTTGTTGGATAGCGTTTTTGAAAATTATTATTTCGGCTTTGGATGTTTATCGGCTGATTCTGGAAATTATTGCGGTTTTTGTAAGCTGGAAAGGTTTTCAGACTTCGATAGCTTTGTTGAAAATTCGACTGATGAGGTGCCTGAAATTTTTGAGAATGAAAATTCTGATTTGGTGCCTGATTGCGGTAATTGTTGTTTGAATTTCCAAACTTTTCCTGTGGTTTGAAATATGAATTTTGTGAAGTCTTTAAATGATTTGGGGATTTGAAAATGTTTTGCGTATACTGGAAATTTTCTTCTTCAATAATGTATGTCATTGCTTCTTCTAAAGACGCAGGATTTTTCAAACAAATAACCGCTTGTAAAGGTCCTGATAATCCGCGCACAAGAGCTTGCAAACAGATACCGTCGTACTGCTTCATCATTGCGACTCTTACTTCGGCTGTTGCGTCTGAAATACTCAATTTTTCGGCAAGTGTACTCCTTAAAATTTGGAGTCTTTTTTTAAAAATCTAAGGGTGACTTACTTCTATACGGTCAGGCTAGAAAAATATCTTGTTCCAAGCATTCTAAACTTCTTTTATCACCAAAACACTGCTCTAAAGCATCTTTTATTAAAGGCCAGCTATTTAATTCTGCTCTACAGCCAACTAAAAGTTGAGCTCTACCAACTAATTTAGTCTGAATCACTCTCAATAAGTATCTCTTGATCGTTTCTTCAGAAGTGTTGAATGTGTCGAATAGATAATCGCATCAGCTTGGTAGTGTATTGAAATTACCATCAAAATTTGGTATTGTATCTACAAACATGCGTAACATCTGCAAGCTGTTTTCTGGGGATGCCATTTCTTCGGATTCTGATGCTCAATCAGGATTAGTAATTCTTAAGTTATTTAGCTTGCTGATAATGTCTAGTAATGACATAAAATCACAACTTTTCAAAATAAGATCTCCTATACAGGAAAATCAATTTGGGTGGAGCGAAAAGGAATTTTGGCTCTTACCTTCTACTCCTATCTTCTTGGAAGGCGGCAGGGAGAAGCAAGGGGCCAAGTTCTCGCTCTTGGGCAGTGGATTCTTCATTTGTTGCTGTAATTCGAACAAATGAGGAATCTGCGGAAAGCATGAAGAACCTCTGTTTATGATCTCGGGCTTGGATACTTTCCTACATTTTTTTCTTCCACGTGCGTCCTTTTCTGCATCATAACTTTTATGTAAGTCAGTCCCTACTTACTGGCCACGGTCTACTTACTGGGCGATAAAATCAGAGATAAAATGCTTCAATCGTTTTTCGAAATTCTTTATAGAGTAGTGAGTGAACTCGGTAAACAACGCGTTGTATAGCTTAATAGCAGTATATATGTACGATCTTTTAAATAGAGATGTTGAATCTCTCGGGATAACCAAGAGATGCTTATTCTTTGTATTCATTTTTGTACTTTTATGTTACAGATGGGTAATCAAGGAGTAGGTTACTGCAAGATGGTTCACTGTGGAAACAGCCTCTGTCCAAATGGAGAAACGCCATGTAGAATAGAAAGTAGTGCAACACCTTTTGTGATCGGTGTATATTTTGGACCAAGTGCCAGAGAAGAGTCACCCGAAGATAATTTAGGCATGTGCCTTACATATGAACAGCTGCCTTGTAGTATGTGAATACAAACAAGCCTTTTAGATTCAGTTGTAGAACAAAAAGTGCCGAAAAAAATAAAAGTATTTTTAGTAATTAACACCTTCTTATTAAATAAAAATTAGAAATGACGTATAACACTAAACTAAATGCATATTTTCACCAAACAACAGACTACAAAGTAGAATGTTGGATAAACAAGAGGTCATACACCTTACGGAATTTTCTAAACCTAACACGTTGGTTTACGCAATACAGAATATTCTTTCTTATGGGATAGTCAGTCTAACTAGTTCACACCAAGGAATTAGGACTCATAGACCAGGGTAATAGCGGTTTCGTCAGCACACTTACAGAGATGCAAACGAATGGTCCTTTCAGATGGTATGGGTTTTTTTTTAAACTGAGCGTCATTTCTCAAGTGTTGGAACAACCTTCTAGGCAAAACTAGATTTTTTTAAGTAGTCTTGTGGAAAAAGCGCCTACTCATGTTGAATATCGAATGAGTCTACAGCTCTCAACGTAGAATTCGATTTACTCGTACCATCAACCTAGCTACATTAATATTCTGTCAAATACGGCGCACGCCACTAGAACGTTCATCTTTAACTAATCGTAGTACTTCGTCTTTAGCATGTACGTCGATCCTTAGCCATTCCAGGTTTGTCTGTCCACTTTTTTCTATAGGTTTAGACCGATAGACAGGCGGAAATGAGTGACTTCGTTTTTGTGAAGTATGTACGTCAAAAAAATATCCCACTTTACTTTACTCAACGATACGACACGCATAAATTGTTGGTTGCAGAAAGCCAAGTAGTGTTTATCTCTCAAAAGGTGTGAATGAAGGAAAGTTGCTTGAGTGGCAAGATCGCATCTGCATGGTTGTATGGTGATTGTGTGAATTGTTATATATGTCTATGTGAGAAAAATTATTACTGAATATGCTGCCCATCATCTATTAGCTCTGGCAAACGGGTTATTTATATGTTGTCCTTTCAGAAGACAGGTTATGTTTAAAGTTATAAATTAATATTTTTTCCGTTTTCTATGTTTTCAAATACTTTGAGAATTACGGGAAATCACTACCGCGCCCACGTTGTGTGTAATTACTGTTAGCATGTATAGGACCTTTAATTCTACAGTGTAATTGCAATATGTGGCAGTATGCAAGTATAAAATACAATATTCCACATATAGGTGATTACTTCACCAGCCAGGGATTTTCTTTTACTTATCTCTCCCAATTTTTAAATTCAGCAAATTTGCATACATTTCCAGAATAAATAAGAAAAAGTTGATATGCAACTAATTTCTAGCTTTGTCAAGTACGTGTATTTGAGGCAAGAAACCGATGGAATTATCTACAAGATGGTAACTCAGCACAAGCTGTTGAGAACTCGTTTTGTAGCTGTACGTGATGCCTAAAGGACAGCGAACAACGAACGTGAAATTAACTATTTGCACACTAAAAACTGCCAAGTCTGCATAATGACATTTTGTCGTTTTTTTTTTTGTAATATCATCATAGTGCTATTGAAAAAATAAATAGAGGTGCTGGTTTTTCAAGGTACAACATGAAGCATGAAAAAGTAAATATAACTTCATAGCAGAAAAGAAAATGCCCAAATTAAGAAATCTGAATTACGAAAGCTATAACTTTTAATTTAAAGTATTGCATGACACTTTGGCCCTTTGACACATTTTACAAAAAACACTTCATGCACTATATGTACGGTCTCATATACCTTTTGCATTTAAGCTGCTTAAAATACAAGAAATACAGTTCTTGCAAATTGAAGCATACCTATTATATTGTTTGAAGAAAAAAAACGTATTCACTTACTTGTGCAGCCATTTTATTATGTGTAGGACATTTGGTTAGTCAATAATATTCATAAGCTGCGCTTAGCCATCAGTTCTTTGGCAATACATTAAAATGTTGAAATACAAATGTCTCAAAGCGGATCTGTTCAATAGAAATGAATGGTTTTAATAAAAGTTATCGCTGTGTCAACTTTTATTAAAACTACTAGCCAAAATGGCTGTGGCCTGTGAATAAGGCCCTCCACATAATATGCATAAAAATACAATATAATGGCTTTCTCCATCCTCAGAAACGTCCGATTCTCAATGTTTATTCTGATATTATTATAGAGGAAAATTGGTTTTGATAATTACACGTTAACAAGCGTCCTCTAACTAAGGCATACTAGGACCCAACATATTGATTATGGACAACCCTGTAATAAAAAATAAATAATAAAACCGATCAGAATAAAAAATATTACCTGACGCCGAAATGAGTGTCATTTCGTGCTACCACTGCCTTGCGTTGTGTGTCGACATTTTTATTTAGATCTATTTACTAAAGCTGTTTTGTGTTCGTAGTTCAATTGCCTCTGTAAAATCAAGAAAGCTGTTAATATTACAGCTGGCTGTTATTACAAAAGTGAACACTACCTTTATATTTCTTCTGACGATGGTCAAGCTGTAAGGTGCTAATTAAAAACTTGACGGTTTGTAATTTGCCCTTTATGCCAACGAAATGACAAATAATTATGTGTACATGAGTATAAAGAGAGCTTCGTTTGAATAGTTTCTAATTAGTCATCAATATTTAATTGATGCCGGAAAGTTGTAATGGTTATAAAAGCATAGTTATCAACATCTTACAGCTCAAAGCACGCCAAGTTGCTGACTGAAAGAAATCGCCGCTTTAACATATAATCATAGAGAAGTAGTGAAAACGCGAAAACCTCTGATTCCGGAGAAGCCAAACAGACTTTTAAGATTTGTAGGTAAATGTGTTTATAGTGCTTTTTAAGAGGTGCCCAACTCACTTATTCCTTGAGCGAATCAAGCTATAAGATGAAATTCAGGGTGAAGAGATTGATGCAAAACAACATGTTTTGAGGAAAAAGTGATAATTAAACATTTCAAGATGGCGACTAGACGCTGTCTTTGTCATTACAGAGGTCAGGTAATCTCTCACTTTGAAATTCTTTACCCTTGACCCTGGAGTACAAACTTATTCTCTCTCAAAATGGGGGATTCGCTGGCTGTCGAAGATGAGCTTTGTCGTATATTAAATCTCTTATCTCGATAGTATGTTAAATCAATTTTTTTGAAGAGTCTATCCGAATATGCGTGCACTTCGTTAAAAAAATGCATTTTACAGTTTTGAATGGAGTGTTCTATAAATATGTTCCATAAGTCACCTATTCACTCAGATCCTTCCAAGAGAAGAATATTGATATAATATACCGTAGCACCGTTGCATTTTGATGATTGCTTGTTGAGTTACAAACGATTCAATATAAGCAAGCGCTCAAATATGGTAGTCTACCAATCCTCCACTTTTGGTTTCGGTAACTTTATATCCTAGGGCTATAAATATATATAACGATGTTCAACATTCCACTTGTAAAATGATCTAAGGTCGCGCCAGTTCACCTTATTGGAATTTTCAACTGGTGATTTTACGCTAAGATATATTACTTATGCACTAAATTCATCACCCTAAATTTAAGCTTGCTAAGCTCAAAAAAATAGGTTGAGGTATATATAATAAGTTATATAGTTAATTTCTTTCAATCTATCAATCTGTTATATACTCGTATATGATTATTTAGGTTTATAATCCAGAAATTGGAATAACTTATCAAAACGAACTATAAAATATATATATGTACATATAGAAAATTAGGCATTTTATAGTTTCGTTGCAGGGTTTAAAGTTTATTCTCCAAGACACGTTTTGTTTAACTGCTCAATCGACAGGCTTTAAGTAGTTTAATCTGCATTGGTTATATTCGGATCAATATCCTAGAGACAGAGCAATTAATTTTCATCTGGTTTCTTTGCAAATATATCCTCTAAGAAAAATTTACAGATACGACTACAGGTAAGAAATGTTATGAGTTTGAGGCTAGAGAAATTAACCAAATGATAAGAATCGCAAAAAGAATATGTGGGATTATTCATTCTCCTAGAACCTAGAGAGTGTTGTTCACAAATTGCTTATTTCTACTAATTTTGGTTATGCCCTAAAATTGTTTATCTTGTAGTAAACGAAAACATTTTTTTTCTGCTAAAATATGTTTAACTGAGTGGAATATAGTTAACACAAACTAAATCCTTATATGCTTGTTGTCGATTTAGACAATTTAATCAAAATTACTCGAGTTCCGTATAATTAAAGCAGTATTTGCCAAAGATAAACTTGACCACTTTGAAATAAGGACGTTAAGTACAAATGTTTGTTTGAACCATTTTTAGCACACAAAATTAAACAAAAATAATTAAAATCAATTGTACACAAAATTAACACTGAAAATATAATAAATATAAATCCTAAAAGTCTATTCCCTGGGTTCCGAAATATAAGCCTAAAGGAATTCCAGTAATATTTGCATCATCGCTGATATTAATTTCTAACTGAACAAGCTATCTATTTCTGCATGCTCTCGTGTATCGTCAAAGTACAAGGTAAGTCAATATGCATATTTGCCGTGTTTTCTATGTAAATTTGCCTAGAGTGAGGACTTGTGGTTATAAACTTTGGTGGCATTCCCTTAGTTTACTCTCTATACAGCATACGAGGTATTATCGATGCTGTTTGTTGGATGTTACATATAAAACACGAATATTGAGGTTGCTCTTCCTGTAACATGATTGTATAATTTTAATAGAACGTGGTATACATGGTGCTTCGTAATACTCGCGTCAAAAGAAACACCAGACTAAGCCCGTGAAAATGATGATTTTTTGATCCAATATGGCTTAGTAAAAAGTCCCTCGTTAAGGGAAGACTATATATAAGACTGTCGAGGCTAACTGATCGAATATGCAGTTTGAGATTATTAAAAATTTTAATTGCAAAAGTCCCAGTTCTCGCGGTTGATATAGCGAAGAGCAAATGCATGCCTCGATAAGTCAAATGAGCAACTTCAGGTTTGAAAAAATTAATCAATTCCAAGCAAATATTTTTCTTTCGTTACTGAACCTATGATATAATATTTTGAGAATACATTCTTTTTTCAAAAAGTTGTACAGTGCTTTTCAGAAAGTTCCCCCTACTTCCTTATTTAACAGGTCAAATTGTCGAGCTGTATTTGACGGTAATAAGATTGATGAATATTTGGGATAAATATCAAGAGACTTCTGATCACCGTAATATATCGCACCTGTCAGACATATTTCTGATGTATGCAAGTAGAAATAATGTCCTATTTACGAATTTGGTGAAGGCGCATGCATTCATTGGGAAACTACATGCCTCTCAAATTTTTACCCAATTTGAGACTTCTGGATACACTTAGCCATTCTTTTTTTGTTATACATGTGTAGTTAACTAACGGATTCGAAAAAATTAGAAGGAGCCTACATGTTTACATTGCATTGTCTGTCACCAAAATTGTGCAGTTTTAGTATGTACTTTTGGCTCATTTCGCAGCGTTGACAAATTTTTTTTATAAAAAACAAGTCATTTTTTTTGTTTTAAACTGTTTTTTTTTGTTTAAAACATTCAAATATAGCTGAAAAAAATGACTGAAAAACTGTTAATACATGTTAAAAACAGTAACAAAAATAAAAAACTATTGCCTATATAATCTAGCAACGTTAATGAAGTTACTTAAAAGTGTTATTATTATTTTTGATCCAGCTCGATCAGAACACATCTCTAATTTAAAAGAGGACGTCAGGAAACTACCGTGGGGACGTCGGGGAAGTACCGTTTGCCTTTGGGTAATTTTTCGCGTTGCGATCTCCAGCCGTCAAATGTGCGAAGTCGTAGCGTGGTGGTGTGTTTTGTTTTTTGTGCAATAAATATCGGCAAAAAAAGAAAGGCAATTACTGGAAGGAGAAAGGATCCCGTGTGGAAATATTTTAAGGAGACTGATGCCAAAGCTGGCTCAAAAATAAATAAAAGAGCAAAATGATTAACCTGCAATATGGATATAGTGCTACTGGTGGCTATAATGCGCAAGCATATTAAAAATTGTAAACCACTCAAACAACGAAGTTTGTTAGAAAAACAAAATATCCATATATCAGATAGTTCTGATACCGACAATGATGTTTCTACTGAACCTATTCCCTCAAAGTTAAGTAGCTTGGAAAGTTGTGAAAGCGGTAAGAAATACCTAATTGCTGTTAAATTTTGTTTAAATATGTTAAATGTATATGAAATAAGAACAAAACAGGTCCATATTAAGGCTCGGTATATATTTTTTGTTATGTACAAGCAAATTTCTGTTAATCAATCGCATTGAATTTTTAGATATTAATACAATTACCGCATAGGTGTACTTTATCTTTTAGATGACTTTGTCGCTATTGACGAGAAAACAAGAAGATAGAGACGATGTCCAACTTAAATCGCGACTGGATTCATTCATTGTCAACATAACAGTAGCGAGAAGAAAAAAATTGATATCCGTGTAGCACGTTTTGTTTATGCCAAAAATTGTGATTTTAGAGTAGTGGAACACCCCGAGTTTAAGCGGCTAATGGAAATGTTGCGTCCAGGATATCAGCCATATAATTGTCAGCAATAGGAACGAAAAAAAGGAATTAGGTAATAAATCAGAATGCATGTCTGTTGATGGTTGGAGCAATATTAGAAATGATATTCAAGAAGGTAAAGTATATTTAATTGTCACTGTCGACACTGAAGACAAAAAATTTATTAGTGGAGTCTCTAAGGCGTTGTTACACAGATTATAATTGTACTGTCAGAAGTGTTGAGACAGACAATGCTGGAAATATGACCAAGAGACGTGCAGAACTAGCAAAATGCGATAGAGCAGATCTAGCTGCACACATTTTAAATTTATTTGCACAAGATATTCAGGTGCCCACTTTAAAAGAACACATAAGGAAATTAATAAAGTACTTTGTAAATGTACATTTCGCAGCAGGCAAATATAAAATACCTGGCGGAAAAGCTCTCGTGATGCCACAAGATGTTAGATGGAACACTTAGCTGACTCTATTGAATGTTATCTAGAGAACTGGCACTTATCAAAAATTTGTTCAGAAAACCGAGCTTCTATTGATATTCCTTTCTCGGAAAAAATAGTGATTTAAATTTAAAAATAAATGCCCAGAAATATGGTATTTAGTAAAGTTAAAACAAATAGCAATTGCCCTAGATAAGATTCAACGAGATAACTGTACAATTAGCGAAAGCAAAGACATTTGGATGACCTACTTGCATTTTTAAAGAAAATGAAAATTGCACTGATTCAGATAGAAATCATTTTGTGAAAAGGTTTCATATGGCTATGTCTCCAGCACACTATCTGGCAAATATATATCATCGATTCCAAGGACTTAAATTGAATCTAGAGCAACGCGAAGAAGATCCTGAATATGTCTCTCGTTATTATCCTGAAGCGATGCCTTTATTGTAAGTTATCATGCAAAAATATCACCATTTAAGGATTATTTATTTAAAAACAATTTGAAAGACCTCTCACAACTTGTTTGGTGGAAGTCCTTGAAAGCTGGCTTAAATGAAGTTACAGTCGACCTAGTGCAGCAGCTTCGTACAGCAGCTGCTTCATCTGCTGGGCTTGAGCATATTTTTCCCTCATTTGGGATAATCCACACCGAACTTCGTAATAAATTGGGCACAGAAAAAGCGGCAAAATTAGTCACAGTATTTAAACATCTAAATCAAAGCGTCTAAAAGTAGAGTATTACATTTTTTTACCTGGAGTTCCGTAAAAAGTAGTGAAAACTTTATTCTATGTACATTTTCCATGATTTTATATTCTAAAAATATGGATTTTTTTATTTGTTGTTAAATAAGATAGGTTGTATACTTGTATAGGAATTTGGTAAGTAATTTATTTAATTTTATTATACAAGTAAATACATAGACATATTATATGATTATTCTGCAGCTTGTAATGTAATAGAGTTCAATGCAGTTTATTAAGTTCACTCGTTCGTTTCCACTACTATTAGTTCCCTAGTTTCATGTTTAATTAATAAAAAATAAAGTATATTTTTGAGTACCTATGTTTTTTAACCTATGGCCCTTTTAGTTTCGTGATGCAACTTGAATTATTCACAAACGACAAAAAAACAGTGTTTGAAACATGTTTTAAACATAACTTCATTAGTCTTGTGCTACTCTTTGCAAAGGGGGCAGCAGCGGTGGCGGCAGTAATGTAAACTCTTCGTTCTCCTGATCCGTCGCCGTGCGCTGTGCGGGTTCGAATCCCATCCCAGGAGAATTTTTTCTCTTGGTTATGGGTGTTGTGATTATCCGTAGGTGGTAGACGGTCTCTAGCTGTCGAACGCGGAGGTACCACCCGGCGGATCTGGTAGGCCGGGCCAGAATGTGTGCATGTTGCATGCACACGTGTTCCTTCGTAAGAGTCCGTATGGCGTTCCCCCTTTCCCCTGTATCCCCCTATAGCCGCACGGTACGCCATGGGTGTTTAGGTCTAAGACCTTCGTGGTGGTTGGAGTATAAAAAAAACTGTGTACGTCTTGAAATCGTCTTACACCACAAATATCTGCAAACACTCGCTTTTTTAATGAATAACACTAAAGTTACGAATTTAATGACAGAACTGTCAATAAATTAACTTTTGTCAAGTGCACTTTGATCCTCACTATAGATTATATTCTTAAGGAGACAAACAATTCATTGACTGGTTCCTTCTACTTAGTCTGAATTCGTTGACTACAACAGATTACTCCATGTCATGTGAATACAAATAAAAAAATAGTTCATACTGCATAAGGTCTGGAAATATACCGAACATAATCTAGTTAAATTGTGTGTCAAGTGCAGAGTCATTCACCTGGACGCCATTTTTTAAGAAATCCATTGCTTGTTTCAGATTATCGTGAAAACATATATATCATATGCAGCATTATGGCGCACTATAATATTAGACAGTGTTTAAAGTTTCTGACAATAGTTGGTTGCAACCCAGGAATTCAAAATAGTAGACTTCAACTGGTTTTGTATGTATTTTCTACCAGTGGATCAGCAGTCATAATTTTACTAGCGATATTGCTGTTTTTCTGCTCCGAGGATGCTCTCACCATCGAAGACATTGCCAACATATTTTCTACTATTATCGCGTTTGTTTATGTGAGTATTATTTTTGATAATAATGCCCATACATTAAGGAAGTAAGTTAAGATGTAAAAAGTAGGTACGTCAGCAAACGATATACCAGTAGCTTTAAATACCTGAGCTTAATATCTTGACATTTTCTGCACCTAGATGTTTGTTCGGGATAATGCAATACCACATACGTGTGCTGATTTATATGCCCAGCCCCCAACCTGCTACATTTAATTTATATTTTTTATGTTTCTCCACAATCCCTACTGAATGATTTTATTTTTTATTTACCTTCTATGTTTACAATTGTTTTGTTATATCCACGATCCTTTCCATATATTTTATAAAGTGCACATCACCTGTAGTGAACAGTTGTTAGCGTTTAGGCGTAGTCTTGGTCTACGCTTCAATGTAAACAATGCGTGGACATAATAATATGCACATACCATGTTTTTTTTAAAACAGCCATGCCTAAAAAAAACCTAATTCAATCCTGCAGCTTGATCAGATCAAATGTGAACACGTACGATGCGCACCGTACCCAGGTGCTGGCCGCATTTTTAAACAAAACCCTCACACATCCGTTTTTCAAGATATTTCGGTTTTTTTAGTTGTCTGGGGCGTAATGAAATGTTTATTGCTTGATCACGTGGAACACACGAGTCTATGCATCTATCGCAGACAGCTTTTTACAATACTTATTATTCCTAAGCGATAGACAGTACTTTAAATTTCTATTTCACCACACGTTAATTTTGTTATTTCAGAGGCAGTTGTTCCTGAAAAGGAAAATCCCAACTTTCTGGGTAACCTGTATACGTTGCAAATATCTATATTTCTAGTTACTCAATAATTACTTTAAAATACATAACATACAGATATATGCAGGCGACGTAATTGAACTACTATTTGCTACTTGATATGTTGTCTACATGGTTTACTCTGTCTATATGAATATACAGGGTGTCCCACAGATAACACGCCAGAGTGACACGAGAGGTAGTTTGTCTTCAGATCAATCAGATAAAATCAACATGTCCTTCGTAAAAGTTTTCGAGATATTGCCACTTTTAAGTTTTTTCAAGAAAACAATACTTTTTGCTGCTTTTTGACTGTTATGGCTATAAATAACTTCTAACTGGGCTACCATTAATAGTATTCATTTCACTAAAAGCTAGCACGGTATGCTAAAAGGTCCTCGTGGTGACATAATGCTACCGACTGAACAGTGAATGTGAGAGCGAGATAGTCAATGACATATTTAGGTCATTTCATTCCTTAGTGATTTGGATACAACGGATGCACTTATTTTTTATTTGTAGTATTTTGAAATTATTACGACTTCTTTGACCAAACTAGGGATTATTCAATTTTTAATAGAAAGAACCTACAGATGTAAAACTATTTTTAAAAGGGCATTAACTAGGCTAGTTTTTAATATCATTTGCCAATTCAGTCTGTTACATTTTTTTTACAGTAATAAGTCAATAAGTCAATGAAACCAAGTATTAATGGTTGCGTAGGAAAAAGAATCATAAATTAGAAGTTCATTATAGCCATAGCAGTTAAAAAAGGAGCAAAAAGTGTTTTTTTTTTGAAAAAACTTAAAAGTGGCAATGTCTCGAAAACTAGAAAACTTTTACCACTTCTATGTCACTCTGGCATGTTATTTCTGGGACATCTGTAAAGATATACATGATGCATAGACTGAGTCCATCACGGCTTCTAAATCCTGACAATCAAAATACTATGATGAACAAACTAGTTTTAATTCCCGTTTGGAATCATGCGAGCTTTAAAGTTCAAATTCGGGAACTTGAACTACTAAGCTTTATTTTCGAAACTAAAGTTTTTCCGGTGACTGAAGTAATATGGGTCAGGGGAAATTGAATCCTTGAATCATATGGACAAGCTGAATAAGATATTCATAAATCAATTGCTTCATTACTTTTGAAATGTACAATTTAACCAGAATTAGAAAGGGAAGCAAATATTCCCAAATACATGTCGTTAGCTCAATCAGGTGGTAAAGATTGCGTTAGCCTCGACAGTGGTTCCGCTGGAGGCAGTAACGTAACGTAACGATTTAATCGAGCATGTCAGATAGGTAAACGTATAGTATATTTCGGCGTTAAAAAGGGATTTGAAAAATAGCAGCGTCATCTATGGACCTAACAGAACACAAAAATGAATCTAGAAATCTGCTTTGTAAATAGATGGCGCGAGGATTTCCAATCGCTATATGAAGCCTCTCTAAATTTTTATTGGGTATCTTTAATTACTAATTCATCCACCTGAAGGTATCAAAAAAATAAGCATTAGATAGGTCAAAAAGGGCTTAAAGGTCCTAGCATCATCTATAAAACAGTAGGAAAAACAAACACTGTAACTCTTTTCAAAGTAGACTCCTACGTTCAGTTTTGATTTCTGCTAGTGTGTCATAGATGGAACTACTAACTACTATCAGATCCTTCATGGACGCCGAAGGTCATTGAATAGTTAAAACGTTCAACAAATAATGAGAGACCCTTAAAAAAGCACTGTAGAAGTATTTATCAACAATTAGCTAAATATTATTTTTCATCGAAATCAGTTAAACACACTCTCGCTATTATTTTGATTCCGGTAATCGTATACAAATCAATGAATTTTGTGATACACACTTAATTTTATGGGACTATGAATGTGATTTTAAAAGTAGCTGAGACGTCAGACCAGTTGACAAAATGCCCTACACATTGTTTTGTCAATGATTTTACTGAATATTATTATAATGATTATTCGCTACTGTTTTAGGTGATTTCCAAACTCACCATGATGTACACAAAGAAACGTGAAGTCCAAGATATGCTAATAAAAGTTGATAAGTCATTCTGGAAGATTGACGACACGGTGAATCCAATGGAAAGGCAAACGTACTTGAAAATTACAAAGGAAACAAGGCAAATGTTTCATTTGCTAGTATTTCTATTCATGTTCTGGTTGTTTAGTACGTTTGGAATATACAGTACCCCGATGGAGTCTTACAGGTACCTTAACTGGTATAAAACCATCGAATTGGTCTTCACAGAGAGATTACTGCATCATTATAGAAGTTTTCTATAAAGATTAATTAACATATCTCACCAGAAGATACCCAAGCAAAATTTAAAGTATACATACGCTTACAACCATATTTTTGTCGATGAATGTGCATAGTGTTACCAGGAATGGTGGCTCTCTTTTCGGTAGACGTAATAAAATAAAATAAATGGTTAATTTATGTAATAAAGCGTTACAAGTTATTTTAGCAACAAAGTTTGGTCAAATCAATCGCAAACTATGTACTAAATTCCTATTTAAAATAAGTACGAGATATTTCCTTATCTTTCTTCAAGAAATAACTTTTATGCCACAAAAAACGCTCCAATAGGTATTTTCAACAACAAAATAATAAACAAACCATGGTCGTAGTGAAGACAAACATTTACTTATTAAGCAAATTCTTTTAGTCAAATTTCTTCTGAAAGTAGTACAAACTAATCTGATGTACCTATTAAAGTCTACTTTAAGCTTTAAATCAATAAATCTTCAAAACTACTGAACTGAAGCTCATGTATTTTACATCATTATAAAGGGAATTGAAAGACCTTTAAAATAAGGTATCACTCAACCCCCCTTTCCATTTAAGATTTTAGGGTTGGTGTCACCCCCGCCCAGGGGGCTGCACGTGTTAACGTGATTTTTTGCCAAACTTGTGTCCCCCTCGAAAACAAAATCGACGGGTCTGAGCGTTTTTCAAAAAAAGCTGAGCTGTCAGTAAATGCGTCTGTTTCGTTTTCGATGCGCCACCCTGTATAACTGACACAGGACTGTGTGAAGTGACTAGTAGCAAGAACCTTATTAGTGCTTTAACATAGAGTAAAATGCTTGTTAGAATTCCGAGTCATTGGATCTAAGTTGTTCGGGGAAAGGTTTGCAGAGAATCTTTTACTTTTACTTTAAAATATGTTTCATCTGTGCAATCAATTTTAAATTAATTACCAATCATTTTTTGTAGGCCACCTTGGATTCCTCTAACCCCGTTAATTGCATTTGAAAACGTATTCTGCGTCCTACTGGTTATCACCATAATCACCATAGACGTACTTATCATGACAATAGTTATCTTGACTACCATTCAATTCAAGATGGTTAGTGCAGAGGTAACAAAACTGTTCACAGATACTTCTGAAATGCGATATACGCAGAATACTTTCAATCAAAAGCTGAAAAAGTTGATTGACCATCATAACTTTCTGCTACAGTAAGTTTCACACCTCAATCGATGTTCATTACTAAGTAGTGTTATCGCACTCTAACGCCCCTTACGGTTTTGATTATAGACGGTGATTAAGTACTTCATAAATTAAACAGAGCTTTGACGTTTTGACTACACTACATTTTTATAAGGATTTTTTCGCGAGTCCACGGTGTAGCACAGTGCACTATCGGGAACAGATACTTAACTTTTCGCGAAGAACGGGAATAGGGGAAGACGGATGTGACGTCGTCCGAATGTCAAAAAATCACGTGGTACGCTTAACGTCTGTGAAGTACTAGCGCGTGACAGGTCTTATGTCAATTTCATTTAAAAAACAGGCATCTCAATTGAATATTTGTCTTGGCAGTGCCGAAAATTGAGTTAAATTATTACATTGCACAAAAAACGATCGGTCTTTTTATTTCAGATTCAAACAAGGCAGCTAAGTGCATCAAGGAGATTAAAGCAAACATTTTGCGCAACATGCGCCATCTGACCACTCCCGGTGTAACTTGAAACTGTCAAAACTTTGAGAGGAAGGGAAATTCCATCTGTTCCCGCTCCGGTTCACTACGGGATCTCGCGAAAAAATCTCTTAAGAACGGTTGAACAGGGGCGGACTTAGGAATTTGTCTATGGTAGGCACCTAAGTAGCGCTTCTAAGAGCAAATGTTCTTGTGACAGTTGAAGAGCGGGGAAGGGGAGGGGGCGCCGGTCTTACAATTCAAGGTAATTTTCATACCAAGCTACAGTTTTTCTTTTCATTTTTTTGAAATAAATAGAAGACTTGGAATCTGGGTAGGGGGCGCCCCCTTTGCAACATCTCAATCTGCCCTTGATACTAAGGACAAAACGTGTACACGTATGCTGCTCTATGCGTGGTGTGATACATGTATACATACAATTTCATTTATGTTTTGTCTCCATAAACCCCCATTGTAGTTTACGTTTGGTGTTTATAGTGATTCTCTGAATGGTAATGATTATAGTAAACGTATGTGCCAAATATAATAACGTAATCGAAAATAGAAAACCGATATAACTTTCTGCAAAAAAAAAGAAAACTTGAAACAGATAGCAAGTGACGCTCCAATTTAGGTCATCAATATGAAAAGTATATTTTCTTGTAGTTCAACTGGAATTACCTCTGCTATGAAAAAACATTGTAATTTTTTAGTTTTAAGTGAAAAGTCCACTTAGTTTCTCTATAAATTCGTAGGGCATGCCATAAACTGTTCTATTGTTTTTCAAAATAACATTCATTATGTTTAATACACCCTGCCAGATGCAACAACGAATCATTAATCAAGCAATCAGCGCTCCCATTGCTCCTTCTAGATAGAATCGCAACGATCCCAGCTCATATCCTAATGCAAGCTTACGTTCTTTTCGCTGTGACTTCGTAAACGCAAGAAGTGAGTGACTCAAGACCTGGATTTTAGATTCTTGAAAATTTGGCGTCAAGTAGATTGGCTTTGAACTCCCCACACAACTAAAGTCCTATTTTTAATAAATGTTTTAAGTTGACCGAATCTCAAGAATGTTCAACTTGAATTGATTTCAACCGCCAGGAATACAAAACTGCAAAATTATGGATTTTGTGTACGCATCTTACAGCAGGGGCTTAATTCTAAATGAGTTTCGACCGATTGAAATTATCATAGCTATTCAAGTATATCGTCACAAGGCGCCATCGAAATCAATTTCAACGGTCGACACTCATTTAGAATCTACCCCCTGGTCATGTAATATAATGAATATGATCGGCGAAACAGTATTGTGAGATTAATTCTTTTTGAAATAATCGAAGACAGCTTTCGAATGCCCTTATATTATTTGCTCGAAGAAAAGATACTTAAAATAGATAAGAGTCTTCGTTCCAAAGAATATCTTCGTATTCGCAGAAGAGTGGTGAACGTCTATTCGTTATCTCACACCTGAATAACTACAGCCCTATTGTATTCACCGTATCTGATTTAAATGCAATAAATTATATTGCTCTGGTAGTCGCAGATTATATCGCCTAGGCATCGTTGACCTTTTGTCAGCTGTCCAGGAAAATTCGTCGCGTGGGTTGCGAGCATCGGCTAATGCGCTTTATATACAAAAGGTTTCTATGATTCTAAGCTTTAAGGGTAAATATACTGCGTAATATAATTATGTGTAAAATATGCCTATAAAGTGCATAGAATTACAGGCGTCAGACGTTTATAAACATACGTCCTAAACAAAATTGCGATACACCCTCTTCCAGCACTTGTTCCCCCATTATATCGATTTACAAAAACTTCAAAGCTTTTTTGAGTGAAAATTTCATCAAAATCCGATCGGTTTAGTTTTAACTTATAGACACGCCAAGGCTTAGCGGACAGACAGACAGACGGAAATCAGACATGTTTTTTCGTGATGTACATGTCATATAGCATCCATTTTCGAAACTTTACAATACCTCCTCTGCCAGTTAGTCGTGGGAAGTAAAATATGTTTTTCATAAGAACTCGTGGCATTATTGCTTGCACTCTATATGCATACGAGTGACTGATATTCTATTATGGAACACCCTATAGCAGAATACTACAAATATTTTTTGTTTCAGCTTCGCAAGTCTGATAAATCAAACATTCACTGTGAGTATGGTGGTATACGTCGGAAATATCGTGAGCCTTCTTTGCATTTACATGTATCATTTATCTATTATGTAAGTAAAAATAATCCTACAGTCACGATGACGCAAATGCTGTTATCTGCCATCACTAAAGCCATCACATCGTCAGCTTACTGCAAAAACAAGATAATTCCATTTCGCTGCCATTTGAGCTGAGTACATTTTCACACTTGTACCCGTTTCGGATAAAACTGTTAGTTTGTGTCTCCTCATATTTGAATAAAATTATCATGCCACTACCTACCCGATTTATAAAGTGTTGGCAACGATGTAAATGTCAGTTACTAAAAACTTCGTTTTGAGAGTAATCTGGTTCTTGTGGTAGTCCGACGACAGGCACATTTATGGACTTATAACTATAAACTGCTTCCAGGACTACCCCAAATATCTACACCATCAGAGATTTTTTTGTACTACTGTTAACTCTGTATGGCTTCGTAATATGCTATTGTTGGCCTGCACAAAATTTTGCAGATGAGGTATGTTTGCATTGTGTTTATCCGTTTGTACTAATTTCGTTGGATGTTGGATATAGGGCCGCGCCGCTGATCCCTTTGCAGATACTTGTTTGATAAGTAGTATTGTGATCTCAATAGGGTACGACAGCAAAATATTAACTTGTTGTCAAACTGTTTTGACGTTACGTGCTTTATGGTTCATGTGTGGCAAGAATTTTAACACAAATGCATCCTGTTGGGCAAAATACCTGCAAGAAAGGGTATGCTGCTCACTGGAGTTCAAAATATTGAAACGACTGTTAAAGTGTGTCCAGATTCTCATGATATAGTCAATAAATGAATGAACGCATAGACCACAGACGGGTCCTTCCCTTCTCTGAACCTCAAGCCCCAGCCTTCTAGCAAAGTTGAGTATAGCCTTATATCCCAGCTCCTCGACGTTCTGGGAATTCAAGGTGACGGACCCCAGTATAGTCTGCTTGTAGTAGCTCAGGGCCTAACAGCGACACAGAACATGCGCTGTCTCTTCCTCTACCCCGCAGCGCTTATACAAGGGATCCTCAACCACCCCATCACATTCAGGTGACGCCTCAACGTGTTATGGCCAGATAACAGTCCCACCTGCAACCCTAGCAACCTTAGGTTGGCTCTGTCCAAAGATAAACAAAAAAGTACGTCCTTAGCACCGGGCCCAACGATGAGCTTCCTTGCCTGACGGAGACGTCTAGAGATGCTTATCCATTTATGAGAGTATTGTCCTGCAATCCACTTCTCCATGTTCGTCCTCACTGTTTGCGCGGGCACCTCCGACGCTAGCTCAGGACCAACGAATTTGCTCCCTGATCCTACATTCGTAATAGCGTCAGTCATATCATTGCTTTTTATCCCAGCGTGCCCCGGTACCTCACACTAACGATACCGGATGCCTCGCTGCTAGACCATCGATCGCATCCCTTCATTGCAATATAAGACTCGAGGTAATCTTGCGGGCTCTTAGTGCCTTCATTGCAGGCTGGCTGTCGGAGAAAATTGTTATTCTTCTCCTAGACCCTTCCCCTCCAAAATACGGGATACGAGAAAACAGTGGTGTGTCCACCGAGAGGCAGAGACAGCCTAGTTATAGGCCCAAAGACTTCGGCACCAGAGTTCTCTCAAGTGACCGAGCCATCCGTGTACCAGACCTGCCCACTCCCTTCGAAGACCTTCCGGCTTCCGGAGTCCCACTCCGCCCTAGTTAGATACTCCACATTAAACTTGCGATTGAAGTCATATTTAGGGGCGATCAGATCATCACTGCTTAGAAGAACAGGATCCTCCCTTGGCAGCTTGACTAAGATCGCAGTGTGTCCTTTGATAGGATTCAAAAAGGCACAGCTAGCTTGACTCCACAGTCGATGTGCGACTATTCTCGCCTGTCCGCGTATCACTAGATCCAACGGTGGGAGATCCAGCAGAGCTTCCATTGCACTCAGTGGGGTTGTTCGCATTGCGCTTCTAATAGTGATGTGCTGAATTTTATTGAATTTGGCCTTAGTTGTCTCGGTTCCAATGCAAGGTCGTATAAGAGAGATGGACGTTATGATATAGTCAAACGCCAGTCTCGAGATCTTAAGTGTATAAGGCTGGTTAAGACCACACATCGGTGGGCCACCTTTAGTAGCATCGAGTGACCAAACCTCAAAAATGTACATGATATGGTGTTACAAGATGGACGTGTAGAATGCGGTAAGAGTATTCGCCAGATCTGCCCCCCCCCCCAATAATCTGAGCCTAATACCAACATCAAAAGAACATCCACGAGAAACAAATTTTTCAAGTAATTAACATGTGATATCTACGGTAGAGGAGTGGTTTTAGCAGCCAGACAAACTATTGTTGCTGAAATACTGTAGCACAAATGACAAATTGAACAAGTGTGTTAACGTTTCTATGTTTGTGGGGGTGATGTAGAGTAATAAAACTTATAGGTCAAGTGTAGCCTTATTGCAAGTACAAATACAACCCTCGTATTTCCATAACTCAAAAAGGCATGGTCATGGAAAGAAAAAGTACTTTCGAACACAAATTTTTAACAACGTTCATTTTTTTAGTTTCGAATTTTCCAACAGTTTTTTCATAGGATTCAGAGTTTTGAGCAGTTTACGGTGAGTTCGAAAACAACAGCCCAAGGACAAGTAGTGGAGCCTATTGATAATCAATAGTTGCGTTTGTTTTACAGATAACCTCAGATACGAGGTCAGTAAATTAAGTAATGATACTGGTAACGTAGCGTTCGATCTTGGAGGGGAGATAGAGGAACATATGATCCGCCTTCAGTACAAGTTTGAACCCGCTCGAGTCATTTGGTTGTCCATCGCGCTTTTTTTGTAAAACAGTTTTTTCTATTGTGTCCTAAAAATGAGTGACATCAATTTCGACCAACGGTGTGCCATCAGGTTTTTCTTTAGAGTTGGGCACAGTGCAGTGAAAACTCTTGCTAGACTTCAGCAGGCCTATAAATACAGTGTTTTGTCAGGTTTTTCTAGGGCCGAAGGCACTTTCAGAAGGAAGAAAGTCGATTGAAGATGAACTACGAAGCGGAAGGCCTTCATCTTCAAGAACCGATGAAAATATGGACAGATTCTGGGATCTTGTGCGCTCAATTGTTGGTTGATCGGGGAAGAGTTAACTTTGACTCACACCACCGTTCATCATATTTTAACCAGTGAATTGGATATGAGACAAATCTGCGCAAAAATGGTTCCAAAAAACCTTTTGCGAGATCAAAAGGACATCGGAAAAGAAAAGTGCCTTGACTTTTTGGATGCGATGGATAATGATCCGCATTTTCTGGAACGTGGCATTACTAGCGACGAGTCTTGCGTGTTTGAGTACGACTCAGAAACCAAGCGCCTGAGCATGGAGTAGGATACTTCAACCTCTCCATGCTGATTTGTTTCTTCGATATGCGAATCGTCTACAAAGACTTTCTACCTCAAGGCCAAACGGTCGATCAACACTTTTACCGGAAGGTTCTTGAACAACTTCGGAAAAGGGTAATTCGTGTGGGACCAAATATCCTTGTCACACAGAAATGTCCTTATTCGCGTGACTTTTTTTTCTTCCCGAAGCTGAAAAATCACCTGAAGGAATTCATTTTTTGACAGTCAGTATCATAGTTCCAGCACTGCTATGAGCGACGGAAGAACCGTCTCCAGCGCTGTCAGCCTTCAGAAGGAAGTTATTTTGAGGGTGAAAAAATTATTTAATTTACAGACCCTGTACACTCACCTCACTTCCGTTTGATCAATTTGTTGCACGTTAATCTTACCAAAACTCAATTTAAATGAGGTGAAATATCTTTTTCTGTCCCCCCTCCTCATCTTACCTCGACTGCACTTGCAGCGTTTACGTTAAGTTTATCTTCTTCATGTACAAAATCCACCAAATAGTTATTGTGATTTTTTGCACTTTGCTAACAAGGATGCAATCCATATCAGCAACTGGAAAAAACGTTTGGTCTTGAATGTTTAAAGTTTTTGAACTCTGATGTGAACCAGATGTTGATTGATGTAACAGCCCCATCTACGTTTGGACTGTCTCACTAACACTTACAAAATGAACGCAACTAGTGATTCCGACATTTGAGAAGCGCCACTTGACGTCACCTTTGGACATCTCCTACCATATTTACACCGTAGGTCGACAGGCGACCACAAAACACTAAACTAATTTCTAGACGTGTCAAAAATTTTTGTGTCTCACCACTCGATCAGTGGAAGTTATTTATATGCTTGTTTTCAAGTTTTCAGTAACCTTACAGCAACATCTTTGGGCACGGAATATTTTAAAATCATTTTCTCAAGTTTCTTGAAACGGACCATTTTTAATCCTACAGAAGGCCTTCACATAAACCGTATGTCGTAATTAGTAACGCATTGTAAATAAGGGCGGATTCAGGAGAGTCGTGGAGGCATGATCTCACTGGTCGATTCAAGATGGACTATCTCGCCCTCCCTCTTCAATTACTATAATGGCATTCGTTCTCAAAAGGCCTGGTGCAGCGGCTGCCTAAACCCCCACCCCCTTCCCCTCTGCGACAAACATGTGACCCCTGTCTAACAAAAAACGCTGGATCCGCCCTTGACTATAATGTCAGGTATTACACTATTTGGTTGTTTTAGAATGAAAATATCAGAAACTTTGTTCTGTGTACTCTTCAAACTGGTATGAATATTTACCCCATCTGACAAAAAGGCAGGTTCCACCCTTGATAAGGGTATAACAGATGTTGCATAATTCCATTGTTTCAGAATGAAAAAATCAGAGATTCCGTCTACTCTTCAAACTGGTATGAATATTTGAGGTTTTCAAAACCTATCCTGATGATAATGAAGAGGTTAGAATTGAAGGTTTCAATATCAGCGGGCGGTATAGCTAATATCAATTTAGAAACATGCTTGAAGGTAAGGAGTAATAACTTTATGCTGATTTATTTTACTGATGTACATAAAACTCACTGTGAAGGTGTATTAACATTTTTACGATGTCATATTCATGCACGTGATTCATATATCAGCGTCGTATTTGAAGACGAATCTAGTTCATGGCGCACTGGAAACGACAAAGTAGTGGTATACATGGTGTTTAGAAACGAGAGGGTGAAAATACAAGTGGTGATTCTGTAGTTTATTCGAATGCTACCTTGTCATCTGAAGATTTTCAAGGTACAGCTTTGTTTCGGAGTGAGGCCAGTAGAGAATACCTGTGATTTTTTTAATAACTTATTTATACGAACCGCGTCAAACGTATCAATCATTTTCCATGAGAGCTTGGACTCACAAAATGAATACAAAAATACAAGCGACGAATATGAATGTTTTAAGCAAAATTTTCATTTTTATTTTTTCATATTACAGGATACAGGGTGACTTGTAATGTCACGTATTCCTGTTAAGGGGTGATAGTTTAGGTGAAAAGCAACTGATTTTGTCCTATCATGGCTTATCCAAAAGTTAACCATTTTTGAGTTATTTTAATTTTAAGTTTATTATTTTTTATTCCGATTTCAGACGGTTAAAATTTAAATACAAAAAAACTGCATGCTTGATTTTGAGTTTTTTGTTATCGTCACATAGCAGACATTCCAATAGTTGATAATAAGTAATAAAATGTTGAAAAGCTACAAACGTTTTAAAATTACGCTTTTTAAATATATCATTTTCTTTTTTTTTACTAACTTTTTCGATGAAAAATAAAATTTTCTGGACGAGGAAGCGAGCGAGAAGAGCTGACTTAGTGGAAGAGTGAGAGAGAGAGAGCTATTATTATTCATCATTGTAGTTACGCCATCGGCGCACGCCGAGTGAGAATTAGGTTTAGTTGGTATCAACTAATGCGTACGCGCACACGTTTTACGCACGATTATTATTTTCGAGTTTCCCAGTTCCTTTCGAGTGGTTTCTTTATCATCATGGCAGTTGCAGAAGATCCGCCAACATCTCGCCATAGCGAGCACGGGCAAACTTTTACAAATGAAGAATACGCAGACATAATGTCCTGTTATGGACTTTGTAACGGCGATTCTGCAGCTGCCCGCCGTGAATATCGGCAACGTTTCCCGAATCACCGAACACCTCATGTTACTGTGTTTGACTCTGTGTATCGTCGCATCCGCCAAACCGGACGTGTTCAAAGGCAATATAGTGATGCTGGTCGACCCCAAGTTTATCCTCCTGAAGATGAAGAGGAAATCCTTCGTGTGTTTCAGGAAGACCCTACCACGTCTACGCTCATTGTGACTGCTCAGTTGGGTATATCACAATACAAAGTATGGTTTACTGTGCATACTGCAAGATTATTCCCTTAACACTACACGCCTGTGCATGTGATTGAGAGGGCGATCCTGCAAGACGATTAGATTTCTGCAGGTACATGTTACATGCAGATACAGAAGATCCAGTCTATTTTTAGGAAACTCTGTGGACCGATGAATCGAAGTTTGATAAGGACGGGATCACTAACTACCATAATGCTCATTACTGGGCTGATAAAGAAGCTTTGAACCCCCGAAAAATAAGACCGACGGGGTCTCAGAGCCGGTTTTCAGTCAATGTGTGGATGGGCATCATTGATGGATATTTAATTGGACCTCATTTTCTGCCCGCCAATTTAAATGGAGAAGTGTATGAAGAGTTCTTGAAAAATCACTTGTTTCCATTAATGGAAGACGTCTCATTGGCGACGGACAAAATATGCGGTTCCAGCACGACGGCTGTCTCGCACACTACAGTAGATTAGTACGGGCGTATTTAGACCCTAAATTTCCAAATCAATGGATTGGCAGAGGCGGGCCCATTGCCTGGCCAGCAAGAAGCACAGATCTCACACCGATGAATTACTATGTGTGGGGACATATGAAAAGCCTGGTGTACGATGTTTCGCCCGTATCAACGCGCGATGAATTAATTACAAGGAAAATCAGTGCAGCTGACCAAATAACAAGCCGCTTAACAGCTAGAGTTACCAAAAGTGAATGAACAGAATGCGGGCGTGTATTCGTAACAGGGGATTACAATTTGAGCAGAATCTGTAAAATACTAAAGGAAATGTAATTAAATAAAACTGTAATTAAAATAAAAGCCTTTTATTTATCCTACGTGATTATCGTTCGTACAACTTTACTCATCTTTTTTTAATTTTATGTCTTTGTACTTGAGTTAGTTGTAACTTTTATACCTCAAATGAAAGATGTCAGATAGAGATATTATTTACCTAACTTGCACATGTTATTACTAGGAGATTTTTTACAGAAAATTGTATTTTTATCGAATAAGTTCGTAAAAAATAAGAAAATCATACATTTCAAAAGCGTAATTTTAAAACTTTTGTAAGTTTTCAACATTTTATTACTTATTATGAACTATTGTAATGTTCGCTATGCGACGATAACAAAAAACTCAAAATCAAACATGTAGTTTTTTGTATTTCAAATTTAACCGTCTGAAATCGGAATAAGAAATACAAAAAATAAAATTCAAATAACTCAAAAACGGTTAACTTCTGGATGGACATTATAAGACAAAATCGGTTGCTTTTGACCAAATCTATAACCCCTTAACAGGAATACGTGACATTACAAGTCAACCTGATTTCAGTTGGATGTTTTTGTGAAATCAATTTGTATGTGTTCTGGTACCTTCTTGCTAAACACTTGGTAACGAGTTCAATTTCAACAGAATTGTATCTACGGCGACAGCGTCACAGTACATCTAAATTAGGTCAAATTGCAATATTTTCAGGAAATCCAGAAAATGCAAGAATTCCTTTACTTTTTTTCTGAGTATATCCTACGTCAGTTTTTGTGTTCGCTTTAAAGCAATCAAGATTAGTCAAACCGGGAAAAATGTGGTTAAATGGAACAATATTTATTTTAAGTTCTCTATTTAAAAATTGCATTACATTCTTTATATGCCGATATAGTCCGTTCTCCAACGTAAACACAAGTGCTGATGCAATCGGCAGTTTTTGTGATTGTCACGCCTTTTTTTATAATCAATATCCTGATCAATGTAATGTAGTAAGCCCAAAAGAAGGTGACATGTAGGCACTGCCCTATATTTGAATGCAAAAAATGCCAAACAAAATCAAGTACAGTACTCTAAGAATTTCAGTCGTCAACGATCAATATATTTATATCTATAAAATACCCAATTAAAATTATATTTTACCTGTTCAAATCAGGGTTTTTTGTCAAGGGAAAGGGGTGGCCTCTAGCAAAATCGGCTGCGAAACAGCTATACGGCAGCTACAAAACAAAGCTGGTGGAGTGTGAATAGTGGTTCTCCGCAATGCCTTTCCACTAAAAGGCAGCAGATATCTTCAGAACGTGCATTAAAGGACGTGGTCAGATGGTATACAAACAAGAACTTACCGCTGAAGGTTAAATTCCCATAAGAAACTGGACGAGGTATCACCCAAACCAAAACAACTAAATGTAGGGTACAAAATAAAGGATGCTACTCCATAATCTTGTGTTTGGGACGTTGATATCCCAGAATCTGGAAATAAATTATTACCAACGAAACGACCCACGTACAACCAAAACCTCAACGGAAAGAAGAAAAGAAAATAGCAATGGACCCGTCTGTACACGCAATTTTTTAAAACAAGGTATCTTGATAGGAAGTCAAATATTCCATACAGCGTTTTCAAAGGAGGTATCTTGATAGGGAGGCAAATATTCCTATACGGCTAGTACGTGCAGAATTCACAAGGTGGCGCTCGTTGCCAATGAGTGGAACCAACTCTACGAGGGACCAAAGATATTTGATGAGGAAATTTTTGAGATAGTCATTAATAATACTATAGCATTAGTGTCCAAAATATTTCAACACAATACTGAATCGCTGAGAAATAAAGATAAAATACGTGTGAAATTATACAATCAATAAACTATGAAATTTGCCAAAGAAAATCATTAAAAAGTGTTTGGCCTAGGAATGGGCACTCTACCATTAATAATGAGAAATTCAAATTAGTGGCAAGTGATTAAAATAGTAAAAAAAGGTTACGTGTTTTTGGCACGTGACATGATATAAACTAGATGCAAGAAATCGTAACTACAAAGTAATTTTGGAAAGTAAATGGAAATTTTGGAATTGCAGTTTGGGAAGACAAGAAACGACCACTCATAAACCTTATAGGAAATGGTTTTCAGGTATTTTTTTAACTATATTGTTGTATATTGCTACAAATAGAACAAAAGTGTCCATGAGCTCAAAGTCTTACCACGAGTAGTTTGCGAGATACAGGGCGTCCAAGCTGAGTAGTCGATATCCTGTTCCAGCTTATGGTGGGTTCGGTACACGATATTGTAATACTTGTTCGATATTTATTTATATTTTTGTCATCATCCCAACTGATCGATATACCACCATTGTAATCCTATCTCATGTACAGGACCGACCAAACTAGATGGAGTATTGGTCCAAAACACAAACCTTTTCAAAAATTGCTCAAGATTATCACGCACCGTTCATGTAGGAAAACATTTCAAAAATGTTTTTACTTGACGTTCGCTAACACGAGTGGTTGGCATCTTCAGAAGGTGTCACAGTTCGGAGTCCTGTGATTTTTTTTTATATTTTTATGATAAATATTATGACTTGGCCTATCCCAGATTTCTGGCTTGAGATCGACTTCTGGGACACTGTATTTACTCGTAGATAGACCTTAATAGCTCTGCGTTTTGTCAGTATTTTTTTAGATATCACATATATGCCTAAAGAACATGAAAATATATCATAATGTTTACAAGGTCACTTATTTGAACGTTTTAAGGAAGAATGAATTATGTTTTTGATGAGTTTGTGCAATTAATTGACTCAAACAATTCCAGGCTTGGGCAAGCTAGGTAGCAAGTGAAGAGTATAAGATCCAAATATGTAATAATACTATGGCTAGTTTTAAAAAAATCAACTTTGTGATGCTGATCATTAGTCGAACACCCTGTGTAATCATGGAAATTTTGGAAATGCACTCTCAAAGCAACATTGCAGGATAGTCGTGAATAGTTTTTGATTATGCTTGTCTCAGAGCAATAATGAATATCAAATAACTACCACAATATCGTGTAGCGAACCCACGACACCCTGGAATATGGTACGGATTGCTCAATTTGGAGGCTCTCCGTTGATACTTTTGTTTTTCTGCTGAGATTTGTAACAATCAATTTTTTAAATACCACTATGCCAAAATAATTTTCCTACATCAAAAGTGTAATTATAGCTTGATAACCATGGGAAACAAAGGAAACTACACCGAAACAGCATCACCAATTCAAATCAATTAGCATTCGTTTGACTAGGATAAAATAGCTCGAACCGTAACGACACAAAGCAAAGCGTTTGTACCTTGGCGTCTAAATATGTGTGCAAATGCTGCAATACTGGCCGCAGAACAATTCAGCCCTAACATGCCCCATATTGCGGAACACAAATCATACACTTGAATCGAAACAGTGGAGTTAGACTTGTTCATCAATTGTAGACTAGTTGAAAATGCAACTTATTTTTTTACTTATGCTGTTGATCTGATTTTACTATTCGCACAGAACCAAGGTAGGTTTGCGTCTGTTGTCGCGCACAGTTATTAAAGTGAAATTTGAAACATGGCATGCTGACATTTTGAAAAATCTGAGCTTCATTATTCAACTTTTTTAATTTTTGATGTAGTTAAATAAGCATGGCTCTCAAAGGTTCTGGAATTTGCCAGAGATTCTAAAAGTGTTTGCCTATTACCATTTGCGCATATGCTTGGCACCATTTTACATTTCCCTTAATCTTTCTTCGAATCGATTCCATTTTTGAGAAATGTACGCGTGCATCGTTCTATAAAATTTTAATACTGCTGTTGTATTCGGTTCGTGAAGAAAAATCTTGGCTGCCTTCTATATCTAAGCTTCAAACTAATGTCATTGACTAAAACACAACAAAACTTTCTTGTGAGATGAGATACGTTCTGCTAGACAAATTATTGTCAATTGAAGAACGTGACCTGGTTTATAAAAACGCATACTAGATATACTGGTTATGATATGCTGATAGCCTATCTAGGTTTTGTACTTATTTTTAGGTGGTGAAGCTAGCTGTGTCATATTACATGTTCTTAAAAAATACGGCAAATTAATGATGAAATGAAGTGAATTGATAATCTTCAATATAATCTACGACAGTCCATTGGATTCACCAGAGTAACCCCGAGAAGCATTTTGAACTCGGACGCAATTTCAACATAGATATTTTGTTCGATGTATTTACTTGTATATTCGGTTAATAAACTGACTTCTTATACGGATTAATGTTTAATGTTTTCAGTTATTTATTAATAAGAATGGCACATGTGTACACTAATGAGGAGTTAGTGGACATTGTTTTAGCGTACGGAGAAACAGAGCAAAATTCTCGAGCGGTTCCTCGTTTGTATGCACACCGATTTCCGAATACGCGCGCATGCTAGTGGAGATTTGAGCCCCAGACGTGGAGTGGATGGGGGTCGGGTTCGCCCACAACGCGTTTTAAATGCCGAAGACAAAATTTTGAATATTATGGAAGAAAATCCGGGAATAAGCACAAGGCAGTTAGCCCAATAGGTCCCAAAACTCTCACATGCAACAGCGTGGCGCATATTACATGAGGCCCAACTGTGCCCTCATCACGTTCAAAGAATCCAGACGTTGCTTCCTACAGAATACTCCCTAAGAGTAAGCTTGTGAGTGGTTGTTAGAAGAAAATGCTCGAAATTCCCCTTTGACAGCTGATATTTTGGCCTCCTATGAAGCTATTTTTATTCGTAATGGGATAACCAATCTTCATAATACACAGGTTTGGTCATTTGAGAATCCTCACGCAGTGGTCCAGAAACACTTCCAACATCGTTTTTCCTTAAACGTGTGGGACTTTTATTACATTTTTTTTTTATGAGAACTCAACTTCTTTCGTAGCAGTGTATATGTGGTTAAAATTTGTCTGATAAGTTGTGAAACACCCTGTATAGTTTAGAAAAAAGATACCTTCGAGAAGTGCGATATTGGCTCTGATACTTATTCTTTCAGCGACTCCCTACACAGCCGATATGTGGAAATCTCTATTTAGATCTCTGCAACATCTCTGTCAGTAATATAGACGAGGATACGTATATCTTGTCTAGAGTATATTCATTTGGCGTCTCTCGCTGCTATAAATTCTTGAAGCTAATCCAGAATTTGCAAGGAGAGTTTATATTTATAAGGATATGTAAAAGAGGAACGTCAACTTTATTATCCTATTATGATGCCTGAAGGTAACACGAGCTGCCGAAAATTATATGCCTTCAACAGGGAGAGCGGATTACCAAAGCTCATCATCCTGCCTTCCTACCAGACGCAGTAAATTGGAGCTTCTTCCAAAAGGCAGGCAACGTGTAAAGATGAAACACGTAGAGTGTGCAATTATATCCTTAACTCAAAATGGCGTCAAGTGGGTTGACTCTCCATGTCCATCGCAACGCTATCATCAGTTCCTACAGGATTATATTGAGCACAAGTTAGCTCCTCTTACAAAAAGCTCGCTACGGACATGTACAGGGTTTGTCCGGAAAGTAATAGGACTGAGTCGATTTAAAAAAAATTATTGAGCCAATCGTTACAATTCTTTAAAAACTTTCAAAATAGGCTCCTTATGCGTCGATGCAGCGCTGCCAGCGCGATTTCCAAGCATTGAAGGCGTCACGGAAGGCATTCTCCGGAATAGCCTTGAGAGCCGCGGTGCATGCTGCTTGGAACCCCTCTGTCGTCTCAAAATGCTTGCCTTTCATCGGCCTTTTCAGGCGAAGAAACAAAAAAGAGTCCGGGGGGGCGTTATCTGGGCTGTAGGGCGGCTGCGGAAGCGTTGGGATGCCGGCCTTGGTCAGGTAGCTGTTCACAAGAAAGGCGGTGTGAGCCGGGGCGTTGTCGTGGTGTAACTTCCAGTCGGCTGCGATGTCTTGTCGGACTCGACTGACCCTTCGTTTGAGTCTCCTGAGCACTTCCACGTAAAACTTGGCATTGACGGTTTGTCCAGGAGGAACAAATTCATGGTGGACGGTGCCTTTAATGTCAAAAAAGACAATGATCGTTTTCTTCCCTTTTTTGGGCGAGGAGACGCCATCGTGTGCCACTCGGAAGATTGCCTCTTTGTCTCGGGATCATACTCAAAGATCCACGACTCGTCACCTGTGATTACGTTATTCAAAAATTGGGGGTCACTTTCACACATGTACAAATTTTCTTGGCACACTTCCACTCGCCGCAATTTCTGGTCGTCAGTGAGCACTTTTGGGACCATCTTCGCGCACACCTTGCGCATGTCCAAATGCTGTGTCACAATGTCATGAACACAGATTTTGGTAAATTTAACATCTGGGCAATTAAACGAATACTTAGTCGACGGTCTGAGTTCAAAACTTTGCGCACACGAGTCACGTTATCGGTGTTTGTCGAAGTCGAAGGTCTTCCAGTACGGTCTTCATCAGCGACCTCTTCCCGGCCCTCCAAAAAGGCCTGGTGCCACCGAAACACATCACTTCTTGCTAAACACCTGGGTAAGCCTGCTTGATCATATCAAACGTCTCTGTCGCAGATTTACCGAGTTTCACACAGAATTTAATCGCGTACCTCTGCTCTAACGAAAGCTGCATTTTCGGCTTGCATCACTCACAGAAACACGTCGCGCAAAAATGCCTGTCCTGACTCTCCAAGTGCTCGGAGACAACTGACCAGCCGCTCATTCGTTAGCTAGGAACGCCCTCTACCGAATCCAGTCGCGCACGCTCCGAAGTACAGTCATGGCGGAAGAAAATGAGTCCTATTACTTTCCGGACAAACACTGTATAGTAAAAAATTGAATGGATTAAGTAAGTCACACAGGCTCATACTCATACTCATATTTTATACACAGTTTTAGGGATTTTTGGGATTTGTTCTCGGCAAGTACATTTTCACAAAAGAACATATCTTGTCAATTAATGCCCCTGACCTCTCTCATAATAAAAATTCCTGAGGGCGTTTATGAAAGTACCTATGACTAACCTTGCCCCCTCGCTGTTCGTCATCTACGGAAGTACGACAGTCACTACCGTCTGCAAAACACAGACCTCCATGACTCAGATCGCAACGCATGTTCAGAGACGCGTACGGTGAAAATATGTCACTAAATGCCCTTGTATATTGGAAAGGCCACCTGGCTATGACGTCTTTCAAAATGTATGGTCAAGTTTCAACAGAATTAGAATACATCATTGTGGATATGTCGACATCCTCCATTAATGGGGTGGAATGTCATCTCCACAGTGTGATTGTGCTAGTAATCAAACCATTCAACACAATACAATTGGAAGTATCTTGAGGGCGTCTGACAGAAACCGAGATGACTTCCTTCGCGCGACTTCTGAGTCGATATAAGAAACTTTATAGTTTCTATATCAACTAAGTTGCAATTTTACGATATAGCTTTTATACAGTGAAATCCATATACCACTGACGTCTTAATGTATACAAGAGAAAAGAGCGAGAAGCGTGCAATACGTACGTTAAAAAGAGATAGAAACAACACGTTGCCTAGCAGCACGAGGGCTCAGCTGCGGCTTGACGCTTTGCCATCGGTACACTCTTTCTAACATAGGTATTGTACGCTTCTCTCTCATACACATTACCTCGTCATTGATATTTGGATGTCTCTGTATGTGCCTATATGTTTACAAGTAAAATGTGCGCTACACCCTAAATAAATAAATACCTGAGTTGGGGGTCTGTTTATGTGCACTTTCCGAGGTTAAGAGGGGTCAGAAAATATTAAACAGACGATATCAGACATATAGGCAATGAATACGAAATGTGTGTAATGGTTTTTCTTGAACCATATAACATTAGAAAAACACAACATCCAAATTTCAAAATTGTTCGCTTTTACAATATTTCTATCATCGCCTACTAGTGTGATAGTTGAAAATTTTACAGACCGATCGATCCTAAGATCTGCAAGCATATATCTCATGCTACATGTGACCAGCAAAGTCAGGAAAAATGCATTGATACTAAACGTTTAAATTAACGTGTCCTAAAAGCTTTGGCACAAAATATTTATCAGATTTTTTTCTTATTTAAACACTAACTATTTATCATAAATTACAACTCAATACTTAACTAAACTATACTATCTACTTATGTGTCGTGGCCAATTCTGTTCTATCAGATGTATTCCACTTCGAATGTCTCTCATGAGATCCTGGACGGAATTCAGATCAATTTCTCCAAGTTTTTCGTAAATTCGCCGTCCTAATTGTTCTTAATATTTGGCTTCCCAGCCTCCATGATAAACCTCCCTAGACAGTCAAGCCCAAAAATCCTCTATTGGGCGAGCCTGTATGTTGTGATGTCGACGCCAGTTTTGGGTACCATGATGCTAAGTCTGGCCAAAACATGATATGGTCATCAGCATGATGTTCGTGGACGAATTGGAGCAATTTGGAAAGACAGTTATCAATATAGCTCTGACTATTCAAAGTTCCACCCCCAACTCTTAACGCAAAAGGTTGGAATACATCCCTTTTCGAAATTACGCACCAGACAAGGACTTTATCTGCAAAGTTCGCTTCATTTCAGAGTTAGTCAAAGTGAAATAATTTACGTCATCTAAAATAATGATTTTTCCATTGGCAAAGTATACCCGCTTCAGTTGACGATAGCATCTTGGTATACGAAGGAGTTGCGCTTGAGAGTATTTGAGGCACTTAAGTCTTTTTCGATATTTAAGACGATCAATTCCAACGATATCGTACCTCCAGTCCAGTAAATTCTCGTGTTCTTCCACTTTTTGGGAGACTAAGAGATGGTATTCGCTGCTCGCACTCCCCTATTGTTCGACAAAAGGTTCTGCGTGAAATGTTTTCATTCTGGAATAGTCGTCAGATTTCAGCTTGTAGATACTTTTTCTTATGTCTAATTTATACGACATCTTAAAGCTAAAACATCAAAATAAATTAATGTCAACTGACAGTAAAGTAAGTTAACAAACTTTAGTTTCCAAAAGCAACTTGATATTATTTTGTGTTTGTTGAAATTACAGCCAATGAATTTTGTGCAAAAACTTGTAATTTGCGGCATGAATATGGTTTCCACCTGGGGACCTCGTAGCTATATTTTTGCGCTCTAGAGATTGATAAAGAACTTTGGTATATCACTTTATAACTATGTATATGTGATTACTTTATATTCAAAATTGTTGACTATTAGAGTACATATATTTCATTTTGAGTGCCTAAGATATGATCACGATATGATGGATA